GGAGCTGGAAGCCAAGATGAGTGCAGGCACAAGTGTGAGGGTGGGAGGAAAAGGAGCTCTCGTCCGAGGGCTTCTAGTCTGTTACTGGACGTGTAACCCCGAGCAGCTGTCTTAGCCTGTCTGAGCCTTGGTTCCTTCCTCCACATTACTTACTTATTCATTTGTTTGTTTTTATTGATTCTAGAAGGAGGGGCAGGGAGGGAGAAAGAGAAGGAGAGAAACATGGATGTGAGAGAGAAACATCCATCAGTTGCCTCTTGCACGTGCCCTGAATGGGGACCAAACCTGCAACCCACGTGCCCTGACAGGGAATCAAATTGGCGACCTTTTGCTTTGTGGGACGATGCCCAACAGCTGAGCCACACCAGCCAGGGCCCGCCCCATCATTTTAGTCCTGGTTGCCCTGCCTACTTTCGTCAAAGGAAGCCACAGTCATTCCACCTTTAATAATCAGCGTGTGTATGCGTGTGCGTGTGATGGGGTGGAGGGCGAATGAAGTGAGGGTGGTACCCAGTCCCTTTGAATTACAGAGTTTTCCGATACTCACTGTCCCCGCACATGCCTCTCCCACTCTCAACCTGCGACCAGGGAGGCTCCCCCTGAACGTGGGGTTTTGCCCCAAATATCCCTTTCACAGATGTCCCCTCTCAATGCTTCAGCAGCCAGGTTGGAAAGCCTGACAACAAAATGGATTCTACCATTATTTTGCTGTGCGGCTGTGAGCAAAACCCTTCGCTTTTGCTGGGCCTCAGTCTCCTCTCCAGACAGAGAATAGAGCAACTAGGCCCAGCAGCGGCCATGGAAGGAGGAGGAGCTGGACAGAATTCCACGGGCACGCTCTCTGCTGGTGGGGTAGACTTCTGGCCCCACTCCCACCCAGGAGGCTCATGGAAAGATGGTCGGGGATTTCTGGGTTGTCTGTCCTCATTTCTGAGGTCTTGGAGGGCCCAAGCTTAGAGACCCGGGCCTAGGTACAGCCCTCTCCACTCTGCGGCATCCTCGAAGCTCCCTTCTGTCTCGGAAGCCGGCTTCCAAGGACTATAATCAGGGCGCTCTCACACTCTGGCTGTGATCGGGTTTGGACAATGGGAGGCATTGGCAAGACATCAGAGGATGGAGGAGAAAGAGGGGAAAGCGAGACTTTCCTGGTGCCTCCCTGCTTCCCTGTGTTGGTGGCAATGGCGGTGTTTCGCTGTCGCAGCTCCTGATGGGCGGCCCCTCTTCCTGGACTCCAGGTTTCATCACAGAGTCCCCCCCACCTACTGCCCCCTCCCCCCAGGGGAAGAGTGCCGAAGGGACTTCTTGCTGGTGTTGGGCGCTAGGGACCTCACAGCTCTGGCCAGTTCTCCTAACCCCGCACACACCCCTGTGAATAGTCCCCTTAACCCCCTTTAGCAAGCCCAGTGAATGTGCTTTCACTTTCCCTCAGGGCTGGACTGATTTAGACTCCTGCACCCTCAGAACTGGTATCCTGACCGATCTCAGCTTGGAAAGGTGCATCTCGAAAGAGGGGAGTTGTGAAGGGACAAAGCGAAGGTCCCTTCTCTGTAGCTGGGCATTCACCTGCCAGCAGCACTCCTCTCTGACCCTCAGTGCGAATGAGTAACTGGTAAGTCACTTAATGTTTTGCTACCGGATGACATATGTCACCCAACTCTATTCTGTCACTCATAATAATTACCTGCATTTGTGTAGAAGATGCATTCCTCTCACCGTCTATCTTGTTTGTGGTTGACAGCCTCCCAAATTTCCTTTTTTTTTTTTTTTAAAGATTTGTTTATTTTTAGACAGAGGGGAAGGGAGGGAGAAAGAGAGGGAGAGAAACATCAATTAGTTGCCTCTTACATGCCTCCCTGGGAACCTGGCCCACAACGTAGGCATGTGCTCTGATTGGGAATTGAACCGGTGACCTTTGGTTCACAGGCCAATGCTCAATCCCCTGAGCCGCACCAGCCAGGGCCCAAATTCCCTCTTTTTTATTCATGCATAATGTGTGAATGAATCGTAAGTGGGAAAGACAGCAGGGTTCCTTCTACCTCAGTCTCCTCATCTGTAAAAATAGGATAATAATACCACCTCATAGAACCGGTGTGAATATTAAATGAGTGATAGCTGCAAGTGCTTAGAACAGCAGGAGCAAAGTAGTAGCTAATGCTATTATCATTCTCATTGGGTTCATCTTGACTCACTTCCTTCCAGCTTATATGCAGGAAGAGGAACAGAGGACCTGGGTAGGCATTCCTAAGTCACCCCACTCCCGGTGCTTTCCTCGGCACCCTTTCCTCCTCTCTACCCCATTCCTGAGTATATTTCCTTCTCTGTCATCTTGTCATCCCAGGAAGTGTCTAGAAGGGCAAGCAGGGCAAGTTGTGATTCTTGTATTTTCTGCTCTCAGTTGTAGACCAGTGGTTCTCACAGGGTGGCCTGGGGAGCCCTGGCTTCCCAAGGAGCCCCAAAGACCAGAGAGAGTTGCTCTAGGTTACATTCTTCTGCTTGCTTTTGTCTGTTTAAGCTTTTTAAAAACTTGCCCCCCCCCCCCCCCCCCGCCAAGATTCTGTTTGAACAAAGACTTCCAAGATTTTAAAAAGCTGAAAATCCCTGTTCTGAGATATTGGAACCCCAGATTTTATAACTCTCAGTCTCAATTTCTTTGGCCTTGCCAAGAAACTTTCTCTGATCTATTCAGATAGTTTGTATTCTTTTCCATTTCTGACACTCTGAAACAGATATGTGAACAAACCCATCTTTGTGTACTCAGCTGGGGTGTCTTTCCCAGGTTGGAATGTTCAGCAGACGTTGTTTCTGTAATTACCAGCCCCATTCCCCCTGCCCACCTCAGGAAGGTAACTACAAGACTGTTTAACAATGGGGACATTTGAGGCACTTGACTTTTCCCGGCACCTGATCCAGCTGCTGAAATACTTCCAGCCCCTGGAATCCAAGGTTACTGGGGGACCTTCTGTCCTGATCATCCTGGGCCAGGCCTGGACCCAGGGGCTGCTAGGAATGAGGGAAGTGGGTTCCCAGTATCTGGAGTTGGCTGGGGGAGTTGGGGAGGTACTAGCAGTCCGACCAGTCAATGGGTAATTTCTGTGTTCGGTTCAAGATGTTGTACACAGAGAATATGAACACAGGAAGACAGCAAGCGCCCAAACCTCCAGATTTCCCCGCCCCTATCCTGGAGTGCCACAAGGCTTCATCCCATACTTCATTTGGGTCTTTGGCTCAAATGTTACCTCATTAGACCTGGGGCAAGAGCAGCCCCTAACTTAGATCCTGAGCTCTCTGGCTCTTCCAGCCATATCCCTTTTCACAGAGCAAGAAACCCATGGGTGAAGGGAATGGGCCCACCCAAAATTCCTGCTCCTTACTCATCCTTAGAACATACTATGGTACCCAAGACCCTAGAACTCACTATCCCAATAACACCAGGCCAGCTTCTAGAGACTGCACCAGCTTTCTTCCAGGGTCTTCCTATCCTCTTGAGGAGCAAAGGAGTGGCTCCTTGCAGGAGGTGTGGATGGACCTCAGACTTGCAGACTGGGGTGTTACAGGCGCAGACACAAGGCTCCTTGCAGTATGGGATGGAGTTGGAATGCAAAGTGTAGTGGGAAGGCCAAGGGCCAGGGACCAGTTACCGCCTAAGCTGCCCCATTCTGGTGCGCACCTTGGGGTAGCCAAGAATTCTAAACTTAAGTTTGGTCTTCCCGATTGTTATGAAAGTATCTGTGAAGGATTAAAACAATAGAAATTTTACATAAAGATTTAACTTGATAAGTGGGCCTTGTGCTGTTGACCCTGGCCCTGCAAATGTTAGTGGCCAAAGAAAGTACCACTTCTTCTACCGCTCTGTTCTTACCTTATTGTAGATTTCTTTATAGCACGTGTCACCATCAGATCGACGTTTACTTGTGTATCACCTTTCAATCCCTATTTCCCCTAGGCAGTAAATTCCGTGACTGTAGAGTCTTGGTTTTGTTTACTGCCTTATTCTTAGCGCCCAGAGCAGTGCCTGGAGCAAAGAAGCCACACAGTAAACGCTGAATGAAGAATGAATCTAATCTCAGAGGGCTTGCATGCCAGGTGGGCTAACCCAGAAGAGAAAAAGGAAAAAGGTCATTTGTGACAATCAACCCTCTAAGGAGCACCTTCTCCCCTTAAAATCACTCAGCAGTAGAACTACAAAAGGTGACTAAGAAAAATGAACCATTAACACCTTAGTACACAAGAACACAAAATTAGTTATCAGGTTACTTGTGAGAGGGATATTTAAGCAGTGTGTAGAGCTGTAAGTAGACTGGGGAGTTAAATATGGGGGATCCGGGCTGTTGGGAGCCCCAGCTGAAGTTCTGGTGCTAACAGACTAATGAGGGTGGCAGGCCTGTGTGCTGAGGAGCCCCGATTCCACTGCAACGGCCATGCCAATCCAGCCCAGCATAAGGTGGGGAGGAGGCTTCTCGTCCACCATCAGGAAGCCCTCAAATAACGTCTCCCTTAAAGGGCCACGGGGTCCCAGAGGGTGTGGGCACGTCTAGTCTCTGCGGGAGTCATAGTGGCCAAAGACTCAGACCGGTCATCTCTCCCACCAGTTTTTAATTTACAACGTCTTATCGCTTATTCGAACTTATTTTCGGTTGGATGCGGGGCCCGTGAGAAGCCAAATGACCTCCCCAAGTCCCCAGCAGCTACGTGAAAGCTGGTCCGGCCTCTGCCCCGCGGACGCCCCACTCGGTTCATTTGATGGTGGGGGTTCCAGGGCCTGGGCTGCACTCCCGGCTCCAGGCGCGATGGCGCGGCTCTGAGGCTCCCGTAAACCGCGAAGGGGGCGCTCGCGGCCCAGCCTCGGCTCCGGCGCGCAGGTCTTGCCCCGCCCACCCGCCAGCCCGCTGGCGAGGCGGGGCCTGAAGGGCGGAGCCGCGTGGCCCCTCCTACCGGACGGAGGCTGGAGGTGCGGCGGCGCCAGCGCGCACCAACTCACCCGAAACTTGTGCGCGGTGGTGGGCGCAGCCGCGGAGGATGGGGTGGTGTAGCCGCTGCTCCGGGCCGCCGCCGTCGCTGTTGCTTCTGCTGCTGCTGCTGCTGCTGGCGGTGTCCGGCGCTGGTGCGGCCCCGCGCTCAGCGCTTTACTCGCCCTCCGACCCGCTGTTGCTGCTGCAGGCGGACACGGTGCGCAGCACCGTGCTGAACTCCCGCAGCGCTTGGGCTGTGGAGTTTTTCGCCTCTTGGTGCGGCCACTGCATCGCCTTCGCCCCAACGTGGAAGGCGCTGGCCAACGACGTTAAAGGTGAGAAGCCTGGGGCGGGAGGGAAGGCCCGCCCCTCTCTCCCCATCTGGGCCGACCCTCCCCACCCACCTGCCCTGCGGAGGGCCCCTCCTATCTGGCCCGCTACCCCCGGACCCTCACCTCCGCCCACCTCTGCCTCTTGGTCCCTCCCACTTCAGCCAGTTTCACATCCCTGAACTCCATCTTTGCTCCCTCCCTTCTCAGTCTTTTCCCCGGGTCTCTGGCCCGAGCTTCTCTCTCTTCATCGCGGCCTGGGCCCCCAGACCTGCTCTGCTTTCCCTTCCCGGCCTCTGCCGCCTTACTGCCCCCATCCTTGAGACGGGGTCTCCTTTGTTCCATCTCGGCTGCCACCTTAGGGCTTCCTCTAGTCCAGCCTTGTGGCTGTCTCCTTTCTCTTGCTCAGGGATCAGTGTCGCCTCCCTGCCAGGTTCCCCAGCTGCTGTGGTATCATATCAGTGCTGGGGAGAACAGGAACTGACGCTCATTCTGCCCCCGTGGCTAGTTGACCCAGCTGGTACGCAGATGTCCTCTCTCAGTGTTACCTTTGAGGCACAGTTTTTCTGTTTCCATTCCAGGCCACTCCGACCTGCTTCCTCTAGCTCCTTCGCTTCTGGGCCACATCCTTCTCTCTTTCCCGGGGCCAGGCACCCCCTCAGACTCCTGTTTTAACCTGGTGAACCAGCTGCCTGACTGAAGGCAGCCCCTTGATGTGTGCCTGCCCCTTGCTCCATGTTCCCATTCACAGGTCTGATAACTCTAACCTTATTGCCTTGATTCTAAGAGCCTCATCGACTGAGACACACCATTATTTTACTAACAGCCTGAGGGATAGAAGGATAAGAAGACTCCTGAATGTAGTAGAGATGCTCTACTACAGGAATGTTAAAATTTTTAAAAACCTAAAACTTAGAGCTGAGGAAATACGATAATAATAGGAATCAGTGTGTACAGAGTGCTTACTGCATGTCAGATACCTTTCTGAGTAAGTGTGTGGCACACATTATCCCGGAGTTAGAGACCGCTGCGGATCTGCCTAGCCCAGGTGGTGGGTATGTGGGGGGCAGGAGTGGCTTGGTGTAGTGATTTGCTGCCTCTGGATGGGGCCACTCCCTGCTGATGGTGCTAGGGCCTGGCAGGGCTCTTTACCGAAATGGCCACGGACAGAGGACTGTGGGCATCTCAGGACATGGGCCTCTTTCTTGGAGAGAGGAGAATTGGAACCTCTGCTCCCTGGCTCTGCTGTTGGTTTTTTTGTTTTTTGTTTTTTGTTTTAAATCAACTCAGCTGTATGTGGTTGTCTAGCTCATTTGTAGATGCTGGTTTTCAAAGTCAGGCTACCACTTCCCTTGAGTCGCTGTCTGGTGGTTTCCGAAGTAGCCGTGTTGTCCTGGAACGTTATTTTTAAACACAACTGATAGACTATTTTACCTCCCAATTTACATGTAAACATTTGCCTGCATGCCTCTCTGGTCCCATCACCTGAATGTGCTGTTTCTCAACAGCTCTTCACACTGCCTCAGTGATGTCAACTCCTCCGATCAGGGCAGGAGGGAGGACGCGTGTTGAAAGTGGACTTGGAACACCCAAGGGGACATCAGGTGTTCAGGGGACCTCATGGGCCTGAACATCGTAAAAATCCTGAGATTGGTTTCTCCTTTGAGGCTATAAAAGGTCTTTAATGGTCTCAGATGGACTCAACCTAGAAGATTATTGTACTATGAGAGTGCTTAGCTTCCAGCTGACTCATGGGTTTGGCCTTTTGCATCCCAGAGTTTTCCAGTGAATTGCACAGACAGATACTGCCTGGCCTACTTCTGAATAAGGGTTGCAAAAGGGGTCTTTTCCCCAGAACGTAGAATGACGGTCCCTTAAAAAAAAAAGAAAAAGAAAAAGAAAACCTCAGAAAGGAAGATGGGAGCGTCAGAGTCTGTGGAGAGACATCAGTCGGAGGGAGGTGAGAGCGTTAGGGGGACCGTGGGGGTCTCCCATGAGCGGTGGCTGGCAGGGATGACAAGCGCCCTCCTCCAATCCAAGGGGGCGTTTCCTGGTGAGGCCCTGCTGAGAAGCCGGGTTGCTCCCCTGTCATTTGTTCTGAGGTTCCTTGAGAAAATTTCGTTGTGGGCCGGCAAAGAGCTGCTTTCACACCACCCTGGGCCACCGGAGTGTGGCCCCTGGCCCTGGCCGATTGGATGAGTGTCTTAGGTAGGAAACTGTGGAAGGCCCCAGGGAGCTTGGGGGTGGGGGGGGGGAATCCTGCAACCCTGCCCAGCTGGCCTCGGGCATTTAATCGGACTGGCTGGGGCTCATTTCTTCAGGGACTTGTGGGGTCGGTTCTCTAGGCCAGTGGTTGCCATGGGGGCAGAGCGCTTGTTTCTAAGGATCTGGCTCACCTCTTTCTAGTGCAGAGCATCTCTTACTTGCCATACTGTGTGTTTGGGAATTTGACTGTGTTCATCTTAGACCTTGATTACTCTTCGCTGGCTAATCAATCAGCAAATATTTATTGAATGACCTCTGTGTGCACAGCATTGTTTGCATTGCGTTGGGGGGAAATGAGCTACCCATGGCAGGAAAACAGGCACCAGGAAGAAGCTGTGTTTGAAAAGGGACGAAGGAGCAGCTCGGTTATTTCTTTTTGCAGGAGTTCAGGGAAGAGGAGGGTCAGAGGTGGCTGGCTGGTCACCAAAAGCGTCCATTCAAGCCGTTTTGTATTGCACCCTCGCCCAATGCCTGGCACTTTGCCAAGGGCCTTTACAGGCCAGTGTTATATATAAACTGTATGAGAAAATGTCTGAGCAATAGATACTGTCCTTTTTCTTTCCCAGAGAAGTAACTTGCTCACAATTACATGAATGCTAGAGGAGGGTGTTGAACCCAGCTCTCTCTGACTTTCCAGAGCCTGGGCAGGTGGAGAGGCGGAGGGAGGAGGAAGGGATACCAGGTGGGATATGGCCTGTGCAGGGCCACGGGGTTGGGCTTTGTAAGGCGCAGATCTGCGCGTGCTGTGAGCAGTGTTGGTTTGCTTCCCTTTCTCTCCCAGGGCATAGACCACGCCCCTCCGGCTTGTACCCCTGCAATGCCTGGCCCAGAGCCTGGCACGTGTAGGAGCCCACCGAACAGTCCTGCAGGCGATGGCATGTGCCTCATGGCGCTCATGTGAATGTGCGTGACTGAGCCTTCTGCCGGCACTGTGGTTCCTCTTGACTCAGATCTGGCGTGTCAGCCAGGTGTGAGGGGTAGGGAAGGTATTTTGTTCATCTGTGACCTCACTGCCCATAAGCCTGCAACAAGGAAGAAGGGACGAGGTGGTGACCTCATAGTACTGGCTAACTCTTGTGTCAGGATAATTCCCAGAGACGTTGGTGGGGCTTTACCTCTGACCATTAGACCTGACTGGCTCTTGTGGGTCTGGCCTCGGCCTCAGCTGAGACCCAGGCTTGCTTAACACCCACAGGCCTCCTGGCCATTTTTCTGGCCAAGTGTTTGCCATTCAATATCTCCAGTGGTTGTCAGAGCTGGGAGGGACAGGAGAGGATATCCACCCTGGCCTGCATTTGACCCATGAGGAAACAGACCTGAGAGGAGACACGTGGAGCCCACAGTGCGTTGGCCAGTGATACCTGGAAGCGAGTCTGAGGCCCCAGGTTGTGAGTTGGGGGCGGGGATGCTGCTGGTGACTCCAGAAGCAGCCTGTCACCCGCTCACCACGGGTGTCCTCACCGCCACCACCCCAAAGTCATCAGCTGTCCTGGACCAGCTCGCCTCCCCACCCTCCCCGCTTCATGTGCTCATTTCCTCTGTTGTTAGCAGAGAAGTTATTCTGCGAGGGCAGTAATTGCACCAGGAAACTTTTTTCTACGTAAGAGCAGGGCTGGACTGATACTGCTGCTGATCCTTTGGTGTTGGGCCTGCAGGTTGTGGTACTTAAGGCACCTGACTCTTTAAAAAGCCTCTCTCAGCCTTTGCTTTCCCCGTGGCGCACCCAGGTAAGGTCCTCTGTTCCTGTGCTGTTAGTAAAGTGATGAATAGTCCGGCCCATGGTGACTCGCACAGGCTAGATCTTTATGTCATTATGGCTTATTAAGGTATTGACATTGGTATTCCTGAGAAGCATTCCTTAGCCAGGACTCTCCCTCCACCTCCCCCTGGGCCTGGGGCAGGTAAGAAGAGGCCCTGGTTCCATTTCTGGGAGCTACAGGGAATCGGGGTTCACGAAAAGGAGGCAAAGACCACCCAGGAGCAAGGAGCTGGGAACTCCTGGGCATCCGCTGTCTGTCCTACCAACACCCCACGCTTCCTGAGTCCGTTTGTAGGGAAGCCAACAACAGCTCTCTGTTCTGTCCTGGGCCCTCAGACGCCAGCAGAGGGCTCACGTTCTGGGTTCAGATCCCAGATTCACTGTGGATTGGTTGTGTGCCTTGGGCGTGGTTTTCTAATCTCTGTTTTATATGATAAGTACCTTACTTTCCTCACGCAGTGGTTATGAGCCTTAAACTAGTTCACTAAGGCAAATGATAAATTCTCCAGCCATATAATACAGTGCTCCCTAACCTTTTTGGCACCAGGGACTGGTTTCGTGGAAGACAGTTTTTCCATGGACTGGAGGAGTGGGCTGGCTTTATAGCCTGCCACCAGATGCAGCTTACTAGTCACTTGCCAGCCATTGGTAGAGTTTTGATATGAGTCTGCAAGCAACTGATTTATTATGGGCTCTGTGTAGTCATATCTCTGTGCTAACGATAATTTGTATTTGCAGCCACTCCCCAGTGCTAGCATCACCGCCTCAGCTCCACCTCGGGTCCTCAGGCGTTAGATTCTCAGAAGGAGCTTTAACCCAGACCCCTTGCATGCGCAGTTGACAGCAGGGTCCGTGCACCTGTGAGAACCTCATGCTGCCGCAGATCTGATAGGAGGCGGAGCTCAGGCGGTGATGTGAGCCGTGGGGATGGGGAGCAGCTGTCAACACAGACGAAGCTTCGCTAGCTCGTCTACCACTCACTTCCTGCTGTGCAGCCGGGTCCCTAACAGGCCGTGGACCAGTATCCAGGGGTTGGGGACCTCGGATATGATATCGTAGTCGTCTGAGTCCGAGCTGAGTCTGTGGTATTGACCGTGCAAGTTACAGAGAATGCTATGGAAGCAGAAGGCAGAGCGGTTTCTACCGCCCTCCCTCTCCTGGAAAACTGTGACTGAGCAAACAGCCAAAGTATAAAGGCAGTGTTCTGACGCTGGTAGTGTCCAAAGCCAGGGAGCCCTAGGACACCTTGGAGGCCTCTTGGTCCCTGTCATTGTCTGTAAAGCAGGGAGACGATGGCCACCTCCAGTGGCAGTGGTGGAGCGGGGCCACTCGGAGTGTCCCCAGGTGCTCCCTGAAGGCCCGCTCTCTCTTCTCTCCTCCCACCCTGGTTCCTTCAGCATCTTTGTACCCTGGCGGGCAGCGGGTGCTGGCTATGGCCGAGGGATGGTGACTTCCATTCCTGGAGAGGAGCAGAGCAGGTAAGGCCCACGGTCCTTGGCCACCCGCCCGGGGCCCTCGCTGGTGGAAGGATGCAAAATCATCTCTTCTCTGCCCGTAGATTGGACTCACCTGCTGGTCCTTTTGAGCACAGTTGGGCTTCTGCTGCGGGTCTCCTCAAACGAGGTGACCAGAGCTTTAGATGCAGAACAGAAGGAGCCGATTTGGGCAGAGAAACTGAAGAGTAAAGGCGCAGGCCCTCTTTCCCGTGATCCAGGGCGAAACCTTATACCTGGGCAGTTCTTCTCTCCTGCCCTGGCAGGTGACTGGCATTAACCTCATCCCCTACCTGGACCCCCCACTCAGGATACTCTGAGGCTGAGAGCCCTTCCAGGCCGGGGTCGACGGTATCGTCCGTCAGCAGTCACCGAGCACCTGTTGTGTGCTGGGCGATGGGGAAGCTGGGCAGAGAGGATGCGCAAGTGAAAAGACAGCTTTAGAGATGGACAGCCTTGTGACCGTGTGGTGGAAACACAGGCAGGGACCTGAGCCTTGCGCTGTGTGGCAGCTCTTCCTGGAGGGAAGTCATGTTCAGACTGAGTTGTTCTTGATGAATAGGAGTTTATATGTATGTGTAGGGGGCTGTAGCTGTGGGCTGGAGGTGAGAGAGGGAGGGAGAGAGAAAGAGAGACATGAGAAAGAGAGGCAGAGAGACAGAACTACTTTCAGGGAAGGAGAAGAGCCTCAGCCTTTTCTGTGGTCAGAGGAGGCTGGGTGGACAGGGGCCAGATATAACAGTGACCTTATGGCTGTAGATTTTCTTCCAAAGGCAATCGGAGCCACTGGAGTAGAAAGTGCCATAATCACCTAACAGGGAGAAAGGACCGCTTGGTGGCTGGGTGGGCTGGTGGAGGGCAGCTGTCTGGACAGGGGCTGCTGGAAGAACCCTGCACTAGCTCACGGGGGCGGGCATTCACGGTGAGGTGAGTAAAGAACGTAGGATGCGGGGCGGGGTGATGGGGATATGCGGGGAGTGGACTGGATTTGGAGGCTGGTTGGGATCCATGGATCAGTCGTGGGCGGACTTCCCGACTAACCTCCTGCCCACCTGCCTCCCTGCCCCCATCAAGTTGTCCCAACACTGGGGCGGCGGGTGACAGCATAGAGCAGAGTGTCCGGGGGGAGAGGGTGACCAGCGGGATGTGGTCCAGCCTGAGCAGGGCCACCGTCTGCGCAGGCTGCCCTGCAAGTGCTTGAGAGCTGAAGGGAGCACGCCAGCTTGCAGCTGTTTGGACAAACCCCAACTGCCGCCCTCGTGTGCCAGGGGAGCCAAGACAGCTCCCCAAAAGAGCAAAACAGGGGTTGGGGAGATGGCATAGTGGGACGTGGCCCGCTGTCTCTGCTAAACACTTCCATCCACCGCCTATCCCTCCACCCCCACTCACTCCTCCTGCCAGGATTCCAGAAGCTTCAGTGCCAGGAGTGGATTGGCAATGAGTGAGGAAGAGCGGGGAGGAGGGACCAGGAGGGAGAGGGTGTCACCTCGGGCCTGCTGCGCAGCCCCAGGCCCCTCCCTTGTGTGGCCCCAGAAGGACCAGGACCGGCTTGGCTGCCTCCAGCCTTTCCTCTGAGAGATGGGCCGGGGCTCTCTGGGGGCGGTGCCCCCCTTCCTGCGTCTGTCTGTGGAAGGGAGGGTGACACTCCTTCCTTGGGCATAAAACATCCTCGGGAGCGCTGCTGCCGATATTTTTAGACATCCTAAGGAACAGGTTCGGGGTGAAGTAAGAGGTCCTGGCAAAGCCGTGATTCTCAGGGATGTTGTTCAGAATGAGGAATCTGTACTTAATGGGTGCTGGGGGTGCTTCCTGTGTGACTCCCCTCCACCCCCACCCTGTCTTGTATTCCAGATGGCAGGCGTAGGGCCCCGTGGGGAGCATGGGTGCCACCGGGCAGGCTTCCTCCTTGACTCGTCTGCCAGAGACGCCAGGGGCTCCGGGGAGCCGGGGGAGTCAGCCCTGACCCCGCAGGCAGGCGCTCACACAGCCAGGCCTGCTGGCCTCGGCCTGCTCTGCAGCCCTGGGGTCTCCAGCGGAGCCCCTCACAGCCCCCCTGCTTCTTGGAGGGCTCGCACAGTTCCCGGCCAGCTTGCCTGACTGTCGAGGTTCTGCTCAGTTTCCGCCTTTCCTGCCAGGCCCATTTCGGTCCCCAGGGCTGGCCTCTCCCGTGTCCAGACTCCTTTGGGGCTCTGCAAACACAGCGCGACCGCCTCACCATCCCCGTGGCTTCGCGTGTGCTTCTTGCCTTCCAGCTGGAACTTTGGTGGGTGTTTAAGGGCCACCTTGATCTTGACTTGGAGCTCAGGAGGCCTGCCTGGTGGGTGCGTCGGTTTTCTGTTCCCCAGGTCCTGGGCTGTGGCCGGAAGGGCGCCATTATTCTCCCTGCCAGTAAGTTAGGGAGGACTTGCAACCCCGGGGCCGCTGCTGGGAGCTTCAGTCTCCTTCCAGACTCTGGCCTCAGGGTGCTTTTCCCCGTGGCTCCTGGACTCCGGTGCCTTCCCCTTCCTCCTGGGACTTCCTGCCTCCGCCTCTGGCTGGGGAGCCAGGCCCCAGCGCCCTGTGTCCCACCCACCCGAGCCACCCGAGCTGGGCCGAGCGCCAGCTCCTCAGATGGCAGGAGCCTTCACGGAGGGCCCCCTGGGAAATCCCAGACTTCCTGAGGCACGTTCTCTGTCCTTCTGGCGCTGGTCCTCTCTAGAGGGCAGCAGGGACAGAGAAGTCGAGACTTTTCCCCGGAGGGCCGTCTCTCTTCAGCCCCCATATCTCTTTGCCCCTCCCTCCAATGAGGGGGAACACAGATGCCATTATAAGACAGCATTGTTTGTGCTATTTAACTGTTTCCTAAGCACAAGCCGAACGCAGAATAATGAGACTGTACCAGAGGTCCTTTTCTGAGGAAGGAGACGCCTCTCTCATAAGAGCTTCGGGGGCCATGGGGTGGGGCGTGGCGGGGGTGAGGTGTTGCATGGGGGAGGTGAGCAGGCAGAGGTCCAGCCCCCACCCCACATGCTCACCTGGAGCTTTTGTCCTTTCAGACTGGAGGCCGGCGCTGAGCCTCGCTGCCCTGGACTGTGCTGACGAGACCAACAGCGCTGTCTGCAGAGACTTCAACATCCCCGGCTTCCCGACCGTGAGGGTGTGTAATGAGGAGAGGGCGCGGGCAGGGGAGAGGGGGGCGCGGGGCGGGGAGGGGCACCCCACCAACTGCTGCCCAGCTCCAGGGGCTTCCCCGATGCTCCCGTCTGTGTAAGTCCCAGCCCTCGGAGCACTGTTCCTTTGCTCCAGAGACACCTGAATGCCTCCGGTAGCAGGGATCCCCATCGCGTCACCGGAGGCTGGTGGCGCACCCAGCGCCTGCGGGCCCCGTCGCCATCGCCACCACTACCACTCTGGCTGAAGGTAGCCAAGGCCTTGCCGGCCAGCCTGCCCACCGCGGGGCACGGACAGCTTAACTGACATCCGAACCGCGTCCCAGGCTCTGCGAGGGAGGCCAGCGGAGCCCAGAGCAGCAAGGCCGGTCGCACCCGCGGAGCCCCTCCCCAAACCTCTGTCTCTCTGACTCTCTCTCTGTCAATAATTAGCCTCCTCCCACCAACATGGCATCTAGAAAAGCAGCTCCCTCTAAAGTCACTAATAATAATCACAAAATGCCTTTGAAAGCTGCAAGGCCACGCATTGTCCCCGAAACAAGCTATCTCTGAGCTGGGGGGCCTTGAGCTTCCAAGTAGAACCTAAGCCGTAGCTCAGCCTGCCTTCTCTGGGAGATTTCATGGGGGGAGGCAGGCTCCAGCGGCGTCCGGCTCTAACTGCGTGGGGCCTTTCTGTTCCTCGTGCCCAGCGAGGCCTCCTGGGTTCGGGGGTCCCGTGGCCCAGTTGAGCTCCCTCCTACACTGTGCTGCCGGTCAGGGTCAGGGTCAGGGTCAGACCTGGTTCAGCCGGGGCCAGGCTGGTCCGGGGTACAGCGTGGTGAGCCAATAGCCCTGGCCCTGTCATTTAGAGGTGTCAACAGAGAGATTGTTTATACACCGTCCCTTTCTAGTTAAAAGACCTTCCTGGCGGGGCCGTGGCCCCGAGACACGTAACTGAAAAGATGTGAAATCACTCCACAGGGAGAGGTCGGGACACTGTGTCCCTCGCGCTGATCCAGGTGAGCAGCCCTGAGCGGGGGCTGCGGGGAGACCGGTGTGGCCGCAGGGAGTCCCTGTGTGCAGGCTGTTTGCTCCCCGCAGCGGGGGGCTCCGTACAGGGCTGTGGCCGCCACCCAGTCCCTGTGGCCAGGTCCGGGCGTCCTATGGGGCTCTGCGGGGCCTGGCACATGGGCCTTCCGCCTCTGCCTGGGGCAGCCTGGGGCAGGCTGGGGCGCGGCGGGCGTGCAGGTGGCGGCCACGCAGTGGCCATCCTGGAGCTCCTCGGTGCCTGCCCAGGTCACGTCGCGCACGCAGCCCAAGTGCCCCAGTGAGTAATCATCTCCGGAGCCGCCCGGCTGGCTGAGGGAGGGGACCTTCCCCGGCCTCCACAAGGGCGGCACCTGGCTGGGCCAGGCCCGCGGTCATCTGTCCACTTCTTCAGAGCCCCAGAGACAGCAGCGTGACCTCCCTGCCTCTCCCGGGGAGCCCACAGGTCAGTGTCGGCAGGGAGAGCTTGCGATGCCCCGTCCGCAGGAGCCTCCTTCCAGGCGCAGGTGGGCCAGGCTGCCCGGGGGTCTCTGCTCTGGGGCCCGTGTTGGGGCCTCCAGACATTGTCGGTGTGACCCCCGGTGAGGCATGTCCATTTACAGTGAGACCCAGAAGCTGGCCTCTGTTACCACTAAAACAAACGTTTCACAAAACGATATTTTTTCTCAGTGCTGTACATTCTGATGCTTTCTGTTCTATTTATTTTTTAAAAAAATACTGTGACTCACTACACTGACTTCACAACTGACGCCTAGTTGCTTCTAGTGTTTGGAAAACACTGCTCCAGCAGACTCCCGGTCCGCGGAGAGCCTGGCCCACTGAGAGCTGCCGCAAGGGCACAGGTAGCTGCCCTGTCTCCTGCCACCTGGAGACTGGAGCCCGTCCTCACCCCTGCCCTTAAGGGCTGAGAGGGCTCTAAGATAAGGACATGAGTTGAGAAGAGGAGGAGAGAGTTGCTGGTGTGATGGGGATAGGCCCACACAAGAGTTGGGCCACCCCCGGTGACATATGCTGTTGTCCTCTGCCTCCTGACCTTTGTCGCCTTGAGCCAACAGTGAGCCTCCACCAGCCCAGCCTGTTTAGCAAACTCCCGGCCCCGCAGGGCGGGCCGGCTCTGTCAGGCCCATCAGACTGGCGCTGGGGCCGAGCTGGGACCGAGCTGGGAGAAAACAGAAGTGTGGGGAGGGGTCGGCCTGCAGCAGGTTCTGGGTGGTGCTTGGGGACCTGCTGGCTGAACGTCCGAAGGGAAGGGCTTTGCCACTGGCCACAGGGGTGCCCCTCAGCGGGTAATGGACCAGGACCCTCTGGGGCCAAAGGCCTGGCTGAGATCAAGATGACAGGGGCCGGCAGGGTGGGGTGGGAGGGTGCCGAAGTCTCCCCTTGGCGAGGTTCTGAGGAGATAAGTGATGTGGGTTTAAATCCTGGCCCCACTGCTTACTGTATATGACTCGGGAAGCCACGCAACAGTGTCCCAGCCCCAGGCCTCGGCGTCCCTGTCAGTAAAGGAGAGATGTTAAGATCTACCTAATAGGATTGTTGCCAAGTGTGAAAGGAGGCCTTACGTGAGAAGGTGCTGGGACGCCATGCGGCGTTACTTGGCGTTCACTACATAGTTGTCTCCGTCCCATCGCCCCGGGGGCTCGTGGTGGCGCCTCTTGGGTCACCACATAGGAAGCCGTCCGCCCATCCGCAGCTACTAGGTGAGTGTTTGCTGGGTGCCCAGCGCTGTGTTCGTCATGGTGGGCGAAGCTGGACACGTAAGACATGGCCGGAGACGTGAGAGAGGCCACCACGAAGGTCGTGTCCGCACGCACGCTAGAGCTCACCAGCTAGGTGACAGGCAGCGGGGGAGCTGCAGGCAGCGAAGGCTGGCTCACGGGGCTCCTTCCCAAGCATCGGAGAGCCTCGCACGTAGGAGGGGAGCTTCTACCTGGTGGTGCTGAAGGACAGATGGGGTTTGGCTAGGAGGGAGGAGGAGCGTGGGCAGGGTGGGTGGCGAGAGTCACAGCCCTGCGTGGGAAGAACGTGCGGTGTGCCGAGAAGACTGGTCTGGCCGGGGCGGAGGCTCCAGTGCAGGGCTGAGGCGTGGCCGGGAAGCGGGCACCCAGCCACGGCAGGTCCTCACGTTCAAGGCTGGGAGTGTGGACACCCGGTGGGATGTACGGGGCCTGGGCTGTTACCTTGTGCGGCTCTTGCTAGAGGGTGAGATGTCAGGGAGGGGGACAGGACTCGGGAAGATGTCACGTGCGCCTCTCTGGAAAAGGGAGATGAGTTCCTTGTCTGCAGTCCTCTGCCCTCTTCCAGCCGTCTTCTCTTCTACTTCCACAGCGTAGGGATGGTAAAGCTTGCAGATCCTCGGGGGTTCCTTGTAAGATATTTGGAGGCTGGGTCATTTTTCTTAAAACTTCTGAAAGCTTGGAGTCCGTGCCGTTGATGGTCACCGCTGGGAAGTGTGTTTTCTATTCAGCCCTGTTTGGCCCCCGGAAGGCAAGGCTCCTCGTTAGGCTGGTAAAGGTCTGCCCGATGCAGCGGGTCTCCTGCCTCTGGGCGGATGCGGCAGCGTTCCAGGGGCGCCAAGCGAGAGGAAGATGGACACTCCTGCGCAAAGTGAGCAAGAGGAGAGGGACCGGGTGCCGAGTGGCCCTGGAGAAAAGCAGGCTCACTGCTGAGTTCTAATTGCCTGTTTCCAAGGCGCTGTGACGGTTTTCTCTGGGTAGGGCACACACCTCTCGTATTTAATAAGAGCACAAAAATGTGCCCTGACCAGATTTTATTGTGATTTTTAACATGAGCTTCCAAGACGATCAAAGGGCAGAGATTCTCAGTTTTACTGAACAGATGTCCCCTGAGCCCTTCCCTGTCCCGGGCAGTGGGATGAGCCAGCCCTTGCTAGTCCTGCCCTCCGTGTCGGGGAGGTGGGCAGCTGGGTGGGTGGAGAGTCCATGTTGAAGTCCTTCGTAGCCGAAGTGTAGCGAATGGGGGGCCGCGGGGGTAAGTTTGGGGTCAGCCCTTGGAAGACCCCGACTGTGGTGAGCTGCGACATTATTCATTCAGCGGCAGTGGGGAGCCATGGAAGAGTTCTGAGGAATGACATGACCAGATCCACATTCTGCCTTAGAGAAGGAAGCAGAGCGGCCGCGAGGAGGGCGGCGGCGGAATGAAGTGACGGAGCATGGCGTGAGGACAGGCAGGGACTGCTACAGCAGGCCAGAGCTGGGAGGTGGGCCCCGCGCCCGACGAGGCGGCGGGTCCAGGGGTCTGCCCGAGGGGCGTGACAAAGGTCAGGTCCGCCGAACTCGCCGACTCGCGGGATGAGGGGCCGTGGGAGAGGGCGCACGGGTCGGTCCCTGGGGGAGATAAGAGCACAGCTGGAGAAACCGGGTGGGCGTGGGGGTGACTCAGGCCTGGAAAGTGGGGTGTCGCCCCAACACCTGTGCAGAGGGCACCAGGAAGAAACAAACAGAAGTCGAAACAGAGGGAGCAGATTGCCAAATCAGTGAGACAATGTGATGGCATTGGCAAGGGAGACAGACGTAGGTTGGTTGGTTCTGTCACTCATTTATTCACTCCCCCGTTTTGAAGCCTTCTGTCTGTGACCGTGCCTCCCCGGGTTGATGAGACAGGGGAGCGTCATCTCTGACGTGTGGCTGTAGGAGAGCCTGTGGGCAGGAAGACAGCGAGGGTTGCAGGCCCGGGGCAGGTCAAGGGCAAGGCTGGGACAAGGGCCAGGGGCAGGCTGTGGAGGTGGTGGGCCAGGCCTGGTCAGTGTCAGGCAAACCAGGGGAGGGAGGCAACATGAAGGCAGAGAAGGAGGGTGTCAGGAAAATGTGGCACATGCACAAAAATGGCAGACCCTGGCCGTGGGGAGAAGCAGGCAGACGACAGCAGACACCGCAGCGGGAGCGAGGTGGCCACTGAGTTGGCCAAGAGGATGTCGGCTGAGTGGTGGGGCCACGCGCTGCAGCAGGCGGGTCAGGGGCCTGAGGGAAGAAGGGAGGACAGAGGAGTGGAGCAGGCTCTGGAGTATTTGGCCGCAGTGGGGACCGGGGAGAGGAGGAGGACCACTCTCTGTTCCGTTCTCCTTCCTTCCCGCCCTTTCTTTCAAAACAAAACAAAACAAAACAAAACTTTGATTAAGAGGTTTTGTACTTATTTGTAGGCATAGGGGAGAAGCTGGCAGGAAAGGGGAAAGGGGAAAGAGGAAAGGGAGATTAATTGATAGGAAAAAGTTCCTAAAGGGCGTGAGGTGCGGGAGCAAGAGCTGGCCGGTGACGTCGCTCCAGGAGGTACAAAGGAAGGCTGGGTGGGAGCAGAGGTACCTCAAAGGAGGTGGGGGCTTCCTGTAGCCCTCCCCCTTGGTGGGGGCAGCTTTTGGAGTCCCTGCACTCCCCAGCGTCACCCCTGCCAGCCGAGGCTCCACCCCGACACCACGCTGCCCAGGGCTGGGGCCCTCAGAAGGTTCGGGAGGCCGCTTGCCTTTTGTTTTCTTTAAGGTAGCACGGGTATATAATAGTATGTAAGTTTCAGGTGCACAACATTGTAATTGAGGCTACTTTTTGATGGATGTAATGCAGCCTCTTTTAATAAGTACCTGGGTGACCGGTGGGCTGATGAAGAAGAGTTACTGTGTTACTTTGTAGTAACTGAATGTGGCAGCTGTGGCCACGGGGGAAGCCGCCCGCCCAGTGTCAGGGTTCACCCTGTCAGGGGCGCTTTATGCCTGTGGGACACGTCGAGGTCTGTTCTGTCCGCATAAAGAGGTGCTGTCGTCGTGGGTCACTGCAGCTTTAAGGCTCGTCCTCTGGGATATTGTTTGTGAGCAAAGCAAACTGCAAAGAGGCGCGTTTTTAGTTTTGTGTCTGAGAAACACTGTCAGTCCATAAATTTCTTAACATGCTTTTCCTATTTGCTCTCACATCACAGTCTAAGACATTTGTGATCATTTTTACGAATGTTAGGCTGACATGATTTTGTTAATTCCAAACGGTGTTTATTCTCTACGAAGAGCTGCATTAGAAATATATAAGTATATGAGGCACGTATCAGTGGATGGTTTTCACCCAGAGGAGAAGTTTGTATTAATGCTCCAAAAAGAGAGAGAATAAAGCAGTGAGCAGCGTTGGGCCCAGGCGAGGTTCGGGCAGCAGGAGGGGGAGCAGGAAGGGAGAGACGGGCAGTGTCTCGTCTGTGCGTCTTTGCTCCTCGGGTGGGAGACGGGGACAGGCGGCCTCAGGCTTTGCGTTTTCTGCCTACAAATGGTTGGAATAAACAGTGCCAGGCGATCTGTGTTTCCTAGTGTTTAAGAGGTAGGAACAAGGGGAGGGGACGGTGACAGTGACGATGATGATGCAGCAGTTAATATTGAATGACCCCTTGCTGTGTGTACCAGGCCCCATGCTAAGCACTTCAGGTGCATTACCGTTGACTTCTCACAGCAGCTCTTCAAAAGCGAGGAGGACGTTATCCTCGCTTTAAAGATGAGATGGTTCAGAGAGAGTAATATTTGCCCACGGTCACACAGCCAGGGTGTAGCAGCGCCAGGCCATGAACCCAGGTCAGGCAGACTTTAGGACCTGCACACAGCCACTGGCTTGGGACAAGGCCAAGAGGCCCCGCTGTGGGAGGCAGAGGCCAAAGGTAGTTCAAGTGGCCCTGAGGTGAGGGGCCACGGGAAGACTCCACTTCCCAGCCCGTGGGCCCTTCGCCAGGCAGTTAAGTGGCTGTTGCTCAACTCTGTCCCCTTCTGGGCCCGGGAGAGCACAGGCCAGCGCTCTGGCAGCTCTCTTGCCACTTAGGCAGAAGCCCAGATTTTGAGGACTTGTCCTCCTTCCTGTCTGTCCTCTTGCCCAAGGAGTGACAGACTGGGCCCGGAGTGTCATATACATGGACGAAGGCAAGGCTGTGAGTTAAACTGGTCTGTCTGTATTGAGACTTGTTTCTTCAGAGGCTGAGGCCCACCATTCAGTGGGAGCGACTGGGGAGCGTCTGGTGAGCCAGGCTGGGTGTTTTCAGCGGACAGAGACAGCAGCCTCCAAGCTCCTTCCCCAAGATAAGGGACAAGGACAGATGGCCTCCGAGAGCAGCTAACATTTTGCAGGGGGCAGGAGGGTGTTTGAAGTGACTTCACTTTATTTTTTCAGATGGGCCTGCAAGGGAAAATAGCGTCAGTCTTTGTATTCGTACAACAAACATTTTCCCGTGGTTACATCCACCTCCCGTCAGGTGTCTGAGCTGCTGCCTCCAGCCTCCCTTGGTCCTCAGAGCTGTGGGGTTGGGGCCAGATGCGAGGACAGCGGGGGAAGCAGTCAGTGTCCAGCTCCAAGAGCAACTCCCTCCCCGCTCTGATTTTCTATTTGAAGAAACGAAGCTCCCCAAAGTCAAGTTCTCTGCCCAGAACCCCGCATGCAGAGAGCACCTGGGCCTACACGCAGCTCCAGGCAGCGCCGTATCGTGCTCTCGGCTGCACGTGACTCTTCTTTGTGTTTGTTTCAGTTCTTTAAGGCCTTCTCCAAGAGTGGCCCGGGAACGATATTGTCAGGTGGGTGTTCTGGCTCCCGCTGGCCTGTGGGCGTGGTGGCGTCCTCCTCTCCCTGCCTCCCCCTTGCCCCCGGGTTTCTACTGGGCTGAAAGCACAGCGACATCTGCAGAGGGATGAGCTCCCCGGCTGCTCATGACTGTCCCTCTTGGCCAGGCTGGAAGATGCTGTCAGGGAAGTGTGGCTGACGAGCCCTTCCATGTGGGCCCATCCAGGGTCCCGGGAGCCGGGGGAGTCTTCCCCGGCCCCCAGCATCGCCCTTCACGTCAGGGGCTGGCAGCCAGAGGGGCAGACCAGGCATCCCCTGGGGAAGCCCTCCTGGGCCCGGGCCTGAGGGACTCTCCTGCCCGTGACAGAGGGAGGGGTCCCCGGCATAGCTCAGGGCTGTAAGTACAGAGGGAGGCTGACCGTGCTGCGCTGCTCTCGGAACTAGCAGCCCTGGGCCCTTTGTTTCTGTGAGCGAAGCTGACCATTCCTTCTGCTCTCCTCATGCCCCTGCCGGTGACCAACTTCATTTACAGTGGCGGGCGCTGACGTGCAGACGCTGCGGGAGAGGCTCATTGATGCACTGGAGACCCACAGTGACACCTGGCCCCCTGCCTGTCCCCCACTGGAGCCTGCCAGGTACTGGGACTGGGGCAGGCTGGGTGCAGTGTGGGCCAGAATCACAGGCCTAGAGGTGAGAGGGTGGTGGGGACAGCAGGGAAGGGGATGCAGGTTGGCTTTTCCTGTTGCCTTGGGGGCAGATGTCTCAGTGGGCCAGAGGGTTCCCTGTGGCTGGAGGACCTGCCCAGGAGCCCTGTCTCCCTGGGGCTGACAGGCAGGTGCGAGGACCTATCCTGCCGGGTGGGAAGGAAGGGGCGGGGCTCTCCAGGTCGGGACTTGCTGCCGCCTCCCACTCCTGGGCCAGAGCAGGAACATTTGGGGTTACAGCAGAATTTCAGGAGATCTAACCCGGAGGGCGGGCGGCTGGGAGAGTGGGCGTGGGGGGGATCAAGGGCCATTTAGAGGAAAGGGCGTGGGTGCTGGGAAGAGGCAAGCCGCAGCTTTGAAAAGTGCAGGTGGTCGTTTCTCCTGAGCAGTGGCTGTGACTGGGGCGGGGCATGACTGCGTCCTGTGCTGTGGACAGTCAGACACGGTGGCTGGTGTCCTGTATCCGCCGGCCAGGCAGGCTCCCAGGATTGCCTCTTTTCTAAGAAAATGAGGTGCTGAAGATGTACCAGGAGGGGTGTGAGAAAATGAGAGGCGGAGAGTCGCTGAGAAATGGAAGAAGTGAGGACCAGAGAGGTGGGGGCCAGAGTGGATGCCCCTTTCTGTCCACGATGGGGGGACACTCTGGCCCCCGCGTCTCCGGCGCATCCGTTTGTGCTGCCACTGGGCTGGGCTCCAGCACTGGCCCCACGGTGCGCCTTCTGTTTAGAGGTGATGACCGCCACGTCTCTGGGCCCAGTAGAGGAAACTAGATCGTCAGGTTGGGGGCAACGGGAAGATGTCGTCCCCCGGTGCTGTCTCGCCTGCTGGCCTCTTAAGCGCGTGTGATGATGTTCTGCTTTTAAGGAGGGGAAGGAGACCAGTCATTTCTGTGTTGTGCAGTTATTTTCGGTTGAGACTTTGAGTTGTGGAAGCAGTTGGTAGCTTACCTCTCTGACGTGAGGGCTTACTAAAACTGGTCGCCTTTTGAATTTCCACCTGTGCTCCGGGCCTCAGTTTCCTCATCTAAAAATAAGAAGGTTGGGTTAGATGGCTTCTGCAGGCACCTCTACCCAGGACTTTCTGAGTCCTCTGTTCCCTATTTATGCCGCCTCTAGGGGAGGAAAAAGCAAATCCCTGCTTGGTAGTGACGTGCCACGGGTCAGGCCTCTGTCTGGTAGGTGCTTACCGCCAGTCCACTGGGGCCACACAATCCAGATTCTCTACGCCTGGGCCTTGCCCAGAACATGGAGACACGTGGTCTCCAAGTGTCGCTTCCCAGCCCTCCTCCCCAGGCCACCTCCTCACACTGCTCTCAGAGAGACGGGGTGGCAAAGCACACCAGGCAGGCAGGCGAGGTGAAGACCCAGGGTTCAGCGAGGGGCACCGCCCTGGAGCCCCAGGGGCGGGCCGGCTGCCACTCAAGGGCAGGCGGGGGTGACTGCCGTGAAGCCGGGGCAGAGGAGGTTGTGTGGCTGGCTGTACTCGCAGGGCTGTGTCAGCTGGAGTGGCCAGCAGTCCTGCTTCATTCCCGCCCGCGGTGGGGTGACTCCCGGCCTTGTCTCTTGCAGGCTGGAGGAGATTAATGGGTTCTTTGCAAGGAACAACGAACAGTACCTGGCCCTGATCTTTGAAAAGGAAGGCTCCTACGTGGGAAGAGAGGTGAGCTGCCCTCAGGGCCCTTGAAATTCCTGGTGACCCTTGGGAGGGAGCCCAGCGAGTTCTGGAGCAGGGCTGTTTCGGTCAATTCTAGGGTGTCTGTCATTGCACTTCTGAGCCCAGCACGGGGCTGACCCCTGCTGGGAGAAACGGGAAGTGCAGAAGCTGGATCTTCCTGTTTAAAAACTTTTATTTTCTTTTTCTTTTTTAAACTGAAGCGTAACTGACATGCAATGTTACATTAGTTTCAGGCATACAACATAGTGATTTGACATGTGTACACATTTCAAAATAGTCACCACAAGAAGTCCAGTTACCCCCGTCACCATGCAGAGTTAATGCGCTATTACCGACTCTGCTGTACCGTACATGTCCTGGGTCTGTTTTTATCTCCTTCACTGAAACCGAATTTGGTAAGAAGACCCACGGTTGGTCGAGCGTTGGGTTAGATGGCCAGCACACATAGCTGCTAATCTTCACGATTAACGAAGGTGATCATAAACCGCGTTGAAGACCACACAGCCGTTGACTTCGTAGGACAGAGCCTTGAACCCACCAGCTCTGTCTGCCCCCAGAGCCCACGCCGTTTCCACGCTAGCCCTCCTCTCATCCTCGCAGATTTGGAGTAAAAAAAATTTGGGCGGGAGGTAACATCAGAGACATCCGGCCCCTTAGGAGGAAGTAGGGTCCCTTTCCGTAAGGTGAGGCAGGCAACAGACCCAGGCAGGCTTGGAGTTCTAGTCCACCACTTAACGTGATATGTCACGATTAAGTTACTCGATTTCTCTGAGCCCCGTTTCCTTGTCTGTGAATAGCCGAGAGTTACCTTTCTTCAGAGCGCTGTTGGGAAAGTCAAATGAGGCGGCTTGGGCCAAGGCCCTGGATGAGTCGCTGGCTCGGAGTGGGTGCTGTTTAAAGACCCAGTCCCCAGCCTAATGCAGTCACTGCCCCTTCCACCGATGGCTCGTGGACCACTCCGGGCCGTGTGTGGGCCTCTCCCAGACGCGGAGGTGGGACAGGCCAGTGCATGGGAGCCGTCCCAAGGCAGTGCCAGGGGACAGAAGCGACACAGGAGTGGGGATGGAATTAACCACCACTGTCGGCCCAGAGTGGCTTCCCCCCAAGACTCATCAGGCTCAGGTGGGAGCTCTGTGCCATCTGCAGGCCCATAACCCCGAGAGGGGAACACGGGGAGGTGGGCTTGCCCAGGAGCGCCTGACTGTCCCCAGGCCCCAGTCCAGGTCTGGGGTCTCACCTGTTGCAAGGAAGTGGTGGATAAATGTTCATTGGGATCAGCTCTTCCTCTCCCTGCCCCAAGCCCCCTGAGTAACCAGGGACAGGGACTGTGTCCATGCAGAGGTCCTCCGGGATGATGGTTAGTTTGAGTGGCAGGAGGGCGTGGTGGCCAAGGGCCCAGGCTGCGGAGCCAGAGTGAACTAGGATGTATGTGGCCCAGCTCAGGCGCGTGCCAGCTGCGTGACCCGGAAACCCGGTTTTACCTCTAAGCCTCTGTGCCTTCATCCACGGTAGTTTTATTTTTTAAATGAATACTTATGGGCCTACTGTTTGCTAGTTATTGTTATGAGCACTTTTAGAAAATGAACCCATTCAGGTTGGTATTGTTGTCTTTACAGTTCTGCAAGTAGGGAGATTGAGTCTGGGAGAGGTTTAGGCTGAATTCAAACCCAGGCAGCCCTGGCGACCTGCGCCGCCTCGCCTGGCCACCTGAGGTCAGCTCCTGTTATTTTGAAGGTTAAATGAAGCAACCTAGATACAGCATGTAATACATACTCAATAAATGTTAGCTACTGTTTTTCTCTTTCCTGTGTCTTTCTAAAAATAAAGTCACCGTGGATGACTGTGTGTTTTTCTGACTTGGAGTATAGATAGAAAACCGTACAAATAATAGGAGTAAGATGAACCCACATTTTATTATGCTTTTTACAAATTGCTTTCATTGGGAAGAAAATGATGATAAATTGGGACTGTCCTGGAAGAGTCAAGATGTGTGGCATGCTCAGTTCCAAGGCCCCTCCACTGAGACAGCATTTGGCTCTTGTTGTGGCGGGGCGGGGGCAGGGTGGGGGAGTAGATGCAGTTGGTGGCCCGAGACTCTGTTCATCCGAACAGTCTCTTGTTATCTGAGAGGTTCATGGAGGGTGAAGCGCTGCCTCCAGGTGCTGTCCAGGGCTCCCTCTGCCCCGTGGCTTGGCCCCCTGATGTCTGACTGCCTCTGCAGGTGACCCTGGACCTGTCCCAGCGCGAAGGCATCGCAGTGCGCAGGGTCCTGAACACAGAGGGCGACGTGGTGAGCAAGTTTGGTGTCACTGACTTCCCGTCTTGCTACCTGCTGTTTCGGAATGGCTCCATCTCCCGGGTTCCTGTGTGAGTGCGCGGTCTCTCTGCCCCATCTCCCTCCCTGCTCCCTGTGCCAGTCCCTTCTTCCTGCCCAGAGAGCGGGCCACCTTCCACAGGGGCTGCTGGCTCCTTCCTCTGCGGAGCCTCTGAGGAGTCCGTGGGCAGGCGAGGAGCGCCCTCTGCAGGAGAAGCGGTCTGCCCGTGGGGTGTGGGACAATGTCTCTACTGCTGGGGTCGGCCCAGGCCCAGACGCTGCCCTCAGGCCCCAGCCCAGGAGGTCTGCCCCAGGCCCCTGGCGCACCCATCTGGGCGCGCGGCCGTCCCCACCTCAGCCCTAGCCCTGTTCTCCGCCGGCCTCTCTTCAGACAGACCCGCTGGCAGGCGGCGGGCCTGGCACGCACTCAAATATGCCTGACCCTCCCTCCCTTTGGTTCTCTAATTGCAGAAAAGTTCATTAGGAGCCAGACAATAGCCAGTTCCAAAATGCCAAGAGAAAACAATCAGGCCAGCCGCAGCCCCTGTCAGGCTCCCGCTGCTGAATGGCCCGTTAAATGGCGCCAGATGGTGCCTCAGTGCCCTCCCCGGGCAGATGATTGATGTCGGCGTGGCCCTGCCGGTGGCCCGAGGGCCAGGAGAGCAGGGCTTGCTGGAGGTGCCCAGTGAGCTGTTCCTCTGGGCCATTAGTGCCACCGGCCCGAGGCTGGGCGGGGCGGCCGCTGGCCCCAGCTGCCCAATCACCAGGCAGCTGGGCCAGACCTTGTCCGAGCGTTTGCTGGGGGAAGGAAGTAGGATGGCCCCGGGGGACAGGGGGCACTCCCTTCCTGCACAGGCCCCGAAAGCGCTGGTCCTGGTGGGGAGAGGCGGCATTGTCTCCTCGCTGGGAGTTGGTGGAGGGGAAAATTGTTTGTGACTGTGCTGCCTCGGAGCCATCTGCTCGTTGATAAACATCGGGCCAGGACAGCGGAGTGGAAAACGATGCGCCCCGGCCCGGCCACACTGCGTGGGGCCGCGTCCCTCCTCCCCGGGCCCTGACCGAGAGGTGCCTCCTGCCCTTGAGAACGCCCTTCTGTCAGGAGAGAGAAAGAAATCAAAAGGATTTGAGAATTTGAGTGGCTTTTTTGTTATATTTTTTAAAACTCGCATAGTGACCTCCTTCGACTTCCTTGGGGCACGCTGTCCCCTTTGGCAGCTCAGAGCAGGCCGGTGAGCGGCAGTTTCCTTGAGGTCAGCCGCCACTGTGCGCCTTCGGTTCCCGGGGCAGGTGGTCGCCCTGTCCCCAGAGGTGCTCTTTCTCAGTCTCTCCAGGGCAGGGGAGTGGCTTCTCCAGACGGGATTTTGGCCTCAGACTGGTGCCCTTAGAGGCTTTCCACAGCGTGAACAGTGACTAGAGATGTTAGGGCGCAGCATGGGTGCCTGGCTTTGACTTCACCTGAGGATAAGACTGAGGATAAGAGCCAAGTTCAGATGTTTCTTAATAAGCGTTTCTGTCCGATGAGCCCCGGCCTCCTCTCCGGGCAGGAGCTGGCTCACCGCCTCCCCTCTGTGGCTCTCTGCCCTTGCAGGCTTATGGAATCCAGGTCCTTCTACACCACTTACCTGCAGAGATTTTCCGGGGCCATCCGGGAGACCGCCCAGACCACGGCTGCGCCAGCCACGGCTAATACGGTGGCTCCCACCGTGTGGAAATTTGCAGACCGGTAAGGCCACACTTGGTTTTCCTCACCCCTTCCCCCACCCGACCTCTGCTGGCAGGTGCCCGCTTCATATCACAATACACTCTGTTCCTTGTCGTGAGCTGAGCACATGCCATCCTGAGCCCAGACCCTCTGGGGGCTGGCCTCAGCCTTTGGCGGGGGGCCCCGCTGCCAGCCGGGCCCACGAGAGCCCTACTCTGTAGGAGCAGCAGCCTTTCCTTGTACCCTCCGTGAGGGAATGAAGGCTCCCCCATGCCCGCGCTCCTTAAGCTTAACTGTGTTCTCAAACGAGTAGAATCAGCCTGGAACCATAACGTGTGGCCTCCAAACCAGCTTCCCCCACTCGCCCAGTGGTTTCTTCAGAGCGCCTGCATCGTGCTAGGCCTTGTGAGTGCGGACCGCACAGGGCAGTGGAGTCCTTGCCGCCCAGTCCCTTCATGGCGTCCCTTCTGGAGAGGCACCCGGCTTCACTTGAATGTCTTTGGCGCCAGGGAGCTCACTGCTTTTTGAGGCAGCCTGTATCTGTGTGCACAGTTGTAAGCATGAGAAAGCTCTTCCATCCGAGGCTCTGCTCTTGCGGTACAATTCCTGCTTTTTTGGGTGGGAAACAGGGCTGTAAACCTCTTGTGCTGGCCCCCAGCGGCACACCAAGTGGCACTAGCTGACCCGGGAGCTCAGAGCTGCGTGAGAGAATTGGAGGAAAGGCCCTCTGATTTCTGGAAGGAATTTGCGTCCCAGCCTGAGAGACTGTGAGGGGAGAAAGTGGTCATGGAGAAATTTTTAGTAAATCGGGGGAGAAGGAAACACTAAGCGGCTGGAGTGGTGGTTATGATCTTTCAAATTATGATTATTCAAGTCGTTCAGATTGTAATGGCTGACACTTGCTCGCCTCAAGTGAATGCAGCTTTGTGCTGGCACCCAGCTTCTGTACTTGTCTCTGAGCCCCGAGGCCACTGCTTCGGGCAGAATGCAAGGATGGAGAGGTAAACTGAGGCCCAGGGATGCCACAGTGGAGTGGGGAGGGGATTTGCTGTGAGAGTCAAGTGCAGGTGGTCGCAGCACCCACCGCGTCTGCTGGCCTGGCTGGCGCCCTACGACTGGAGGAGGCAGTGTGACCCCCGAGCCCAGAGGGGTAGATCGAGTTGCCCCGCCCCTCCCCACCCCCGCCCAGGGTAGCTCCCGTAGAATGGTGGCCAGAACTCGGTCTCAGAAGGTGGCTGGAGACGCAGCCAGCACTCCCAGAGCCCATCCCATCAGATCCCCAAGCCCAGACCCCAAGTGAGCATCTGGGCCACCCTGGCCTGGGCTGGGCGGAGCAGCCCGCTTGGAGCCTGCAGCTTTCCCCTGGGCGGGGCGAGCCTAGAGCCTAGGAGGCGTAACTGGGAGCCCCACCCAATGCCCGAGCCCTGGCAGCTGTAAGGACATCGGCCCCCCCAACAGCACACACACCGCCTCTCTTCCTGCCTGCCCACCCATCCGCCCTACTGAGCCCAGCGTTCCCAGAGCCCTGTAGTGTGGGTGCGCCTCTTGGTCTCTATCCCTAGGTGGCCTTTGTTCAGAACCGAGGATAAAAATCACCCTTGTTCTAGTGGCCTGATTAAAACACCTTTAGTGAGGCGAGGGAGGGGCTGGCCTGGGCCTGTGGGAGTGAGGCCGGGAAGCCCTACAGGCCAGGAGCTGTGGCGCAGGCGGGAAGGGGGAGGCATTTGTGCTTTTATTTAATCCCCTCAGCCGCCTACCTGTGGGCGATTTACTATTATCCCTCTCTTGCAGAAGAGGCTCGGAGAAGTTAAGCAATACACCTAAGGTCACAGTGACTGGCTGAGCCAAGGGACAGCTTGCAGGACTCTGGGACCATCGGCGGTGGCCGTCCTGGTCTTCCCCTTTAGCCCCAGGTGCGCCTCCCCAGCCCTGCCCCGTGGTTAACGCGCGTCTCTCTCTGCCTCCCTCTGGGTCCTCAGCTCCAAGATCTACATGGCTGACCTGGAGTCCGCCCTGCACTACATCCTGCGGGTAGAGGTGGGCAAGTTTTCCGTCCTGGAGGGACAGCGCCTGGTGGCCCTGAAGAAGTTCATGGCAGTCCTGGCGCAGGTGAGCAGGGCCCTGGCCCCCGCTGTCCGAGCGGCTCCACCAGCGTCAGCGCTCGGCCTGGCCGGGCGGTGTCAGCCCGGCCCCTCCCTCGGGCACTCGTGGTCTGGCCCCACGGCCGTTCTGGGTGCATGGGCTGCCCGGCACAGGGGCGGGGCGGCGGGGAGTGTGGATGGGCCAGGCGGCTGGATTTCCCAGCTGCTTCCGGGCTGTGGCTCTGCCTGCCAGAGCCTTGTGCCTTGGAGTGAGCGTGGAGCGTGGCCTCTCCCTGTCGTGGTCACAGGGAAGCAGGGCCCATGGGACGGCACCGTGAAGGAAAGAAGCCTTTTCATAGTCTTCTCTGTGCTGCCCCAGACACGGAGCGGAGTCCGACCCAGGGCCCTGGCCCTGGCCTCCCTTAGTCCTTTGTAGTTACCTGCCCACAAGGCCACTCCGTGACGTGTAGTTGCTACAAACAGAGGGTCTGATATGTGTCAGGCCTCTAATGTCCCTACTTCGCTGCGGGGTGGCGAGCATGACCTCTAGTTAAGGGGCCCAGGAGGCTCAAGGGCCGGGCCCTCGGGTCCCCAGCCCCCCAGAGAGGAGGAGGTGGGATGGAGGTTTGACCTGACCCCTCAGGTCCCAGAGCCTGGGCCCTCCCTCTGCTCTGCTCCCTGCTCCTCTCTGAAGGTGACTCACGGGCCACCTCCTGCGCCCTCCCTGTGTCCTCCTCTCTGGTGCCAGACCTCCTGCCCGGGTGCCCTACTCAACCCCTCAGCTCTGACCACGGGGGACCGCTGAGTCAGATCCAGGCTCTGGTCCCCTCCTGAGCCTCACTGCTGACTCAGCACCCGTAGGGCTGGGCGCCGAGCCTCTGGGTGCAGGTCCGCGGCAGCTGGGGCTGTCACCTCCAGGCGACCTGCCCCTCTCCCCGGGAGCTGCCTGCCAGTCTGTTCCCGCTGCCCCTCGCTAGCCTGGCCTTCCGCTCACTTGGCTTAGTCACGTGCATGCATGGCCACACCGAGGACCCATGAGGCAGCCAGCACTCACCACAGAGGGCTGTTACCATCTAAGGCATGACAGCCCTCGGCCCCTGCCAGCTGCTAGGTCCCCAACTCTCTGAGGCCTGGGGTGGCTGGACCAGAGCATCAGAGGAAGAAAGTCCTCGAGCGGTTCTGTGTGCTCTCCTGCCTGACGCATGCCTGGCCTCCAGAGTGCTTTGCTGACATCACTCGGAGGAGGTGAAGAAGACACCCCTGCCCCCAGTCTAGGAATTGTCCAGGGAAATTATTTCCTGTGAGCCACTCAAAGCCAGTTTCTGCCTGGCCCCAGGGGACTGTGTATAGCCAGTGTGAGGGGAAGGAGGGCCCAGGGAGTGCTGGAGTTGGGCAGAGGCTTCGGCAGCACCCTCTTGGTGGGGGTGGGGCCGGCTGAGCTTCTGCCCTCAGCAGGGGCAGGGCCTGAGCTTGGGGTGAAGGACCCTCCCTGCCAGAAGCCAGGGCCTCAGACAGAGGCGGGCGGGCCTTGGGAGAGAGGGGCGCCGGGCCTGCGCAGGACCAGGAGCAGGGGCCTGTCTGAGCTGTGCCTCACATCCCAGAACTGTGGACTATTTTGGCCCTGCCCTTGTTTGGGCAGCTTCTCTCTGAGTAGCAATAATGGTGGCAGCTGCCATTTCTTGAGCTCTGACAGGGAGCCAGACTCTGCGAAGGCCTCATTGTGTTTCGACTTATTTGTATTTCTCAGAACAAATTCCACAGGGTGCCTGTCCCATCACAGAGGAAAGCACCTCCAGCCAGTGGATGGCCGACGTGCCATGTAGCCCATGCCCTTACCCTCTGTGTGCGTGGAGCACGCAACCCCGAGGGGCGATGGTGCTCCCTCTGCCCCTCCGCCCCCAGACGGTCCCCGGCTGTGCCTGGAGGGAGGCGCTCTGCGGGTTCGGAGAGTGACCCCCGCCCTGCCCCCCACCCCGGCCCGCCCCAGCTGGGGCGCTCCCTGCTCTCTCACATGAGTGGCTGGCAGGACTGGCCACTGGGTGGCGTGTGGCACCAGGGTTTCCTGACTCCCAGCAGAGAGGGCGACTCCCTGGAGCCCAGAGCCCTTTAGTCCACCCTCCCTCCTGACACTGTGGCCTTGGAAGGTGGAAGGTTCCAGGTCCGGGTGACGGGCGAAGGTCGGTGAGAGAGGCTGACTTGAAGCTGGAAATTCCTGCCTAGAGCCCACGAGGGGGCACAGCAAAGCGCAGGATTCTTTCTGGCCACGTCTCCCCCGGGGATGTGTCCAGACCAGGAGGTTCGATACGATTAGGGGACGGTTTTTGCAGAAGACTAGGGCGGTTGGCAGGTTTCTCTGCTTCGTGATCGTTCCCGCCCCCAGAGCCTTTCTCTGCTCGGACTGTTCTCTGCGGGTCTCTCCGTGCTGTCCTCCCGGCCGGCCTGCTGCGGCCCCCGCTCCTCCTCATGCCCCGGCCCCGCGGCCTGTGTGCGCATGCACGTGTGTGCGCACGCACACATCTGTCCCGTCCCCGGAGTCCTTGTGGTTTTAAAGTGCTGATACTAATCAGATTTGAGCTGACTTATTGTCAGAGCAGCTTTGCGTGTTCCTTAGAGACAACTCGGAGTTACCCTCGGGCTGGGGTCTTGGCTATAAGCCCGTGGGCTGCCTTGTCCCCACAGGCAGCCGGTGGAATACAAATGAAAGGCTGCTTGTCGGCCTCGCTCAGCCGGGTAGTCCGTCAGCAAGTCCTGCTCTGTCAGGAGGTCACCTGAAGAGGGCCCCCTGCAGCCCAGGGCTCCCAGCAGCCATCCCACCCCACGTGTGGGCGGGGTCAGCGCCCGAGCCACAGCGGCAGCCGGCAGCCGGAGCCTCCAGGCCTTCGTGCTCCAGCCTCTCCCCTCTCCCCGCCCCCCCGACCCCCCCACCAGGTGCCAGAGCCCAGGTGGTAAGGCTCCACGTGTGTGTGTATTGGACAGAGTGATTTCCCACCTTGGCCCGCCTTGCCCAGGCCCCCATGCCCCCGCCCTGCCCTGTGTGTCCCCGGGACTGGGGGCCTCAGGGGGCGCTTTCTCATCTCCACTTTGCACTTGCGTCTCCCCTAGCACTTCCCTGGCCAGCCCATGGTCCAGAACTTCCTGTACTCCATGAGCGACTGGCTGCGGAGGCAGCAGAGGAAGAAAATTCCCTACAGCTTCTTTCAGACGGCCCTGGAAAACAGGAAGGAGGTGAGCCCAGCCAAAGCTCCTCTCTGTCTCTGCGACTGTGTGTGTCGGCGGGGGGTGGGGGGGGGTGGGGCACGGGTAACACTGACCTCTGACCTCTACCAGTTTGCACACAGGAAGAAGTTGGTGATCTTGGTTGGGTCCTTCCATTATTAATTAATAGATTACTATTGGTTGCACTCTCTACATGCATATCTTATTTAATCTCCCAACATTAGTTGAAAGTGGATATTATCCTCATTTAGCAGATGAAGAAACTGAGGTTAAGCCCTGAGTGGTGGGTTGGGCATCGCCCCCAAAACCCAAAGGTCGCCAGTTTCATTCTCAGTCAGGGCATAGGCCCGGTTTGGGTTCAGTCCCCACTCAGGGCGCCTATGAGAAGCAACCCATTGATGCTTTTCTCCCTCTTTCTCCCTCCCTTATCCTCTCTGTAAAAAAATTTTTTAAAAAACCTAAAGAATTGTTAAAAAGAAAGAGGTTAAATAACCTGTTTAAGCCCATAAGTGGTGGGGCTGGGATTGAGAACCGATCGTGAGACTGTGGCCGTGAGAGTTCATAACTCCCGCCCTCGTCGCCTCCAAGCAGGTCCTGCTGCTCGCGCAGCGTGGCCTCTCCAGGGTCGCCCGTCAGGGCCCCTGCCCCCACCGCCATGTGCAAAGGGACCCCTGCAGAGGGAAAGCCAGGCAGACTTGCAGGACGCCCCAGCTGGCAGGGACCCCTGCGATCGGCCCCTCACTGTACACACGGAGAAGCTGCGGCTAGAATAAGCACGCAACTTGATCTGTGTCCCAGGTTTCCATTTCTGATGCTCCTTTGGTGGGTGTGGCCAGAGGAAGGGAAATGCCACCTTCCAAGTGATAGCCTGGGAGAGAGACCTCATTGGCCTTAGGGCTGCGTGTGGACCTTTGAGTCTCCTGGAAGCTTCTCTTCTCGCTCCCCCCCCCGCCCAGTTTCCTTCTCTGTTTGTGCGCTCACATCCATCTTTGTCCCTCAGGGCGCTGTGATTGCCAAGAAGGTGAACTGGGTCGGCTGCCAGGGGAGTGAGCCGCATTTTCGGGGCTTTCCCTGCTCCCTGTGGGTCCTCTTCCACTTCCTGACCGTGCAGGCGACGCAGAAAAATATAGACCCCTCTCAAGAAGCAGGTGAGTCTGCGCACCCCGGGCCTCAGCCTGGCCCTGTCCTGCCTCCACTGCTCCCTGCTCGGCTCCTTGAGCGGAGTCTGTGTTCGCAGCCAGCCACGCACGGCCAGCATGGGACCCGGGGCAGGACCCAGGGAGGCCACCCCGTCCTGCCCCTCCCCCGGGCTGGAGCCCCACGCACTAGGGCGTGAGGCTGCTCCCCGGCTTTCTCGGAGCCACAAGCTTGCTTTGTTTTCAGTTGTCATGAAAAATGAGTGGTTTCATTCATACACTCCTCTATAAAGAGAAGAACTGTGTCTATTTCACAGTTTACGTGGTTGGTACCATGTACTTTGAACCGTTTTATTGTTTCCCACTGAAAAGTCATTGTTTAGGAGAAGCTGGGGTAACACCTCACGCCCTCCTGCTCTGTCCCCAACCCCCGCACTGTACGGCGGCGCTCCGTGACTCACAATGCGTCACCCCTTGCCTAGTGACCAAAAGCGGGGTACCCGGTTCCATCCTCATTTACCAGTCACTGTGGGACAAGTGGGCAGGGGGACTGTGCCGGGGCCAGGAGCCAAGGGGGAGAGAAGGATGTTCATAAAGAAAGGAAGGGCTCCCCGGCGTCGGGAAGGGCAAGGGGAGGGGAGCTGTGCTCACCTAGAAATAAAAGGCTAGCGTGAGGGGCAACAAGCATTTACTTGAGATTTAAAAAAACAGTAATAGCTATTTGGGAAGCACCGACTCAGGCAGCCACCCAAGTAGTGTCCTGATGAGGAGACGGGGTAGGGGGTGTTTATCGGAACGGGAAGGGGAGCGAGCACTTGCGGAGAAGGAAGGCGCTTCTCTTGGTGCAGAGAAGCCAGCACGGAGATGCTAGTTCTAAGTAATGTTTTTAATGTTCAGTCTGGTAGCCAGTGGTCCAGTGGTCATAATCACTGCCTTTTTTTTTTTTTTTTTTTTTTTTTTGGTCATCTTTGCAAATAGTCCCTTGGGACATAGTGTTGCTTTGTGCCCGTTCCAGAGACCTGAGGCGTCGATGGGCCAGGAGCCTGCTCTGCAGTGGGGGGCTCTGTTTACTTCGCTTGCACAGTCGGGAGGACAGGAGTTTAAGCTGGGAAAGGGAGAGCGCCCCGTCCCCGACAGAGACACAAGGCATGAGGGGAGCTGCTGGGTGTGGGGACCGCAGCCAGCCACTGTGTCTGCCGGTGTCTGTGGAGTGTCCCCAAGGTGCCGGACGCCGCCGCTCTAGCAGCGGGGCCTGGCGATCAGGGATGCGACGTCCCTGCCTGAGGGAGACGACATCCCAGTGGCAGGAGAGACGGGCAGGAAAGAGGCCCAAGCAAAGTGGGGTGCGGGAGGGCCTAGGGAGGGGGTGCTGGGGTTAGACAGGGCTGCGAGAGGCCTTTCTGAGGAGGCGACCCCGGGTGGTGAGGGGGCGCGGCTGGGGGGCGTCTGGGAAGAGAGCCCCCCGGAGAGTGCTGGTTGGCTAGGGCCCCCGTGACCAAGTGCTGCACCCTGGGCGCTTGAACAGCGGACGTGTATTTTTCTCACAGTCCTGGAGGCTGGAAGTCCAAGATGCAGGAGCTGGCGGGGCTGGTGTCTGCCGAGGCCCCTCCGTGGTTTGTTGGTGGCCGTCTTCTCCCTGTGTCTCTCTTCACACGGTCTTGACCGTGTGCATGGCAGGGTCTGGATTTCCGCTTCCTTCAAGGACGTCGGTCAGAACACACCCTAATGACCTCATTTTAATTTAGTTACCCATTTAAAGGCCCTGTGTCAAAGTACAGCCACATTCTGAGGTCCTGGGGTTAGGACTTCAACACTCAGGTCGAGGAGGTGAGCAAGGGCCTTGGATTTCGGCACTTTGAGAACCCACTGGAGAGTTTAGGCAGGGCATCATGCAAATGATCAATCTTTAGAAAGATTCCTGGGTGGAAGGCGGGCTGCAGCGGGGGGAGGGGGGAAGGCAGGGCAGCCAGTTCCGAGGTTGTAGAACTAGCTGGTCAAGGAAAGGCCCAGCCAGAGCGGGAGGCGTGCACGTGGCGGGACTTGGCGATGGATTGGATGAAGAATAGGTGTGATGGAGGATGCAGGGTGGGCCCCGGGGTTGCTGGGCCTGAGTGCATGGCAGATGATGGTCCTGTGAGCTGAGAAGTGGGAAGGCTCAGGTGGGAGGGAGCGGGCCGGGGAGAAAGTGGGCCACATGGTCGGCACCCATTAGATGTCTGAATGGAGAGGCAGGCACTGAGTCTGGAGTTCTGGGGAGAGGGCCAGGGTAGAGGTGCACATCTCGCAGTTGTTAGTACACAGACGACAGTTAAAGCCGAAGGAAGGACACAGTTAAAGCCAAAGGAAGGGTGGGATGAGCCCACTGACGGGTGGGCAGAGAAGAGAGCGGAGGCCTGAGCTCGGGGCCCTGCAGCGGCTGGACCTCCGCTAGCAGAGCAGGGCCAGCAGAGGAGACCAAGGAGGGGCAGCCGTTGAGCTTTCAAGAGGGTGCCCCAGATGGGAGCCACTGGGGGCCTCTCTGGCAGGAGCTGCACCTGGGGCTTGGTGGTGAGAAAGGCCTGCTCGGAAGGGGCTGAAGACAGAAGAGCAGGGAAGATACTGGGATGTAACGGGTCAGAGCGGGGATGTCATTGCTGGGCGGGGGGGTTTACCTGTCAGAACCATCTCACAGTAAGGGAGAAAATGATGACGCAATAACAAAAGAGACTGTTAATTGGAGAAAAATCTTAAAGGAGGTGAGAAGGGGTGAGGCCCAGAGCACGAGGGAGGTGAGGACAGCTGCAGGGCACGGGGTGTGGCAGGCGACTGGGGTAGGTGCAGGTGAAGGCTGGAGCTGGGGCGCGGAGGAGGAGAGAGGCTCGGCTCGGGTGGGCATGGGCGTGGGGGTCAGCGGGGCGCGGGGGTCAGCGGAACGAGGACTGTGTGCCAGTGTCCCAGAGGGCGGAGCGGGGAGACTAGATCAGCTTTTGGAGGGCTGGGGCGTTGCCCCAGGAACGAGAGAGAATTTGGAAGCAGTGGTCCCTGACTGCAGCCCTCAGGTGTATGGAGTGTTTGAAGACAGAGGGTTTCAGCGGGACCAGGTGGGGGGAGTGTTGTCTTCAGGGAGCAGCCCAGAGCCGGGACGTGGGGGACTCGTCAGGCCTGGGCTGCCGCGGGTCCAGAGGGCCCGTGGGAGGGAATAGCGGGAGGGCAGGTGGAGACGGCTTAGAGGATGTGCCCGCCAGGTCCGGGCGGACTCCCGATGCCATGCCCAAGGGAGGAGGCCCGGCGGGAGCGAGGCAGCGCAGGACCCCTGAGGCAGGTGGGGTAGGGGCACGGGGGGTGAGCGGGGGGCACTCTGGCCCTGCCTCCCTCTCTGGCCACTTCTCATGGAGCCTGAGTGTCCTGCTGGGAGGTTTAGACTTTAGTAAGTGACAAGGGCCCAGGTGAGTGGCAGAGGTAAGAAGCTGGGGTTTAGGAGTTTGGGAGGAGATGGAGTGAGTTCTAAAGTGGTCCTGAGGGGTGGAGAAGTAGGCAGGGAGTGCCTGGGCCCCTCATCGGATGGCTGGGGTGGGAGCCCTCGCGGAGGTGACCGTGGTGGGGCCAGTGGGGCCGGCGGGGACAGGCAGGCTGGAGGGCCCCTGTGCAAGGCGTCTCCTCTCCCCGCAGCCAAGGCCCAGGAGGTCCTGCAGGCCATCCGTGGGTACGTGCGCTTCTTCTTCGGCTGCCGAGACTGTGCCGAGCACTTCGAGCAGATGGCTGCTGCCTCCATGCACCGGGTGGTGAGCCGGGACAGCGCCGTCCTCTGGCTCTGGTCCAGCCACAACAAGGTCAACGCCCGCCTCTCAGGTAAGGAAGGGAGGGTCACCGCCAAGGCTGGAGTGACCTACAGAGGGAGGATGAGGTGGGAGACTTTGAAGTCTTGGACCAGAAGTCGGACACGGGATGCCTGTTGCCCCCGGGTAACGCCCATGGGTCCCAGCGTTTCCCAGCGCACAGAGCCTTTCATGTGCCTGCCAGCCCTGCTGATGTGGCAGTACCATTAGACCCATTTTCCTGATGAGAAAACGGAGGCTCCTACACTCTAAGATCCTTGCCTTCTGATGCCCTCACTCTCTTTCGCCTGCACCAGGGCCCCTCCCCCCTGGCCTGCTGGGGTCCCTTTCCTGCCTCCTCGTTCTGCTTTTTGGCTCTTGGCCCCTAACCCAAGCATCAGGACTTTTCCACCCTCTGCGAGGGGCCTAATGATAAATCGTGCTGGAAAAGACCAGGTCCTCCGTAGAAATACCAGGGGCTGATTTCACAGGGGGAAGCCTTGTCTTCTGAGGTCCCTCATTGGCAGGGTTTCTGTTCCCTGGGAATCTGAGGGGTCCAGCGGATAAAAGCATTAAACCCCCGTGGTGACCAGAGCTGGCGGGTGCAGTGGGAGCCATCTGTGGACGGGAGCCTGGCCTTGTCTGTGGGGAGAGAGGAGTGTGTGCGGCTGGGACAGACTTCCCAGCCGCGGGAGGTGGGGGATAAGGCCCCAGGCGCTGGGCTGGGTGTTAAAGGAGCTCAGCGAAGCAGGTGGTGCAGACAGCTGCACTTGATCTTGGTCTCCTGGGCCTTCCTGGTGGACTTTGAAAAGGAGACACGTGCCTGTCTCTCCTCCCACCCCGCCCCACCCCTGCCGCCACATGCCCCATCTGACCCTCTGCCCGGTGACCTCTGCAGGCTTCCAGCTTCCCCCGGGCCCAGCTGCCGCCGGAGGGAGCCAGGGCCTCTCTCTGAGGGACCTAAGGAAGGCGAGCCCCTACCCTCTCCGGTGGCGCCCTTTCAGATCAAACTCATCACAGTGCGGGGAGGAACGGGCTGAGTGCTCACTTCGCAAGGCCCGCCCGCTGCTACTTCTCACCGGCCCTTGGGGTGTGCTCGTCGCCCCCTCCCCAAAATAACCATCTGGCTTCTACATCACTCACTGCCGCTTCATCGTAGCCAGCAACTTCTTTTTGTCCCCTATTGAGTAGGAGAGGTGCCTCCTACTCAAGAGACGGGCTGATTGGCATCCCCTGGAGACACAGGAGGGGAAGTGGCAGGTCCCCTGGGGCTAAGCCTGCGCTCTGCCCGCTGTCCGGGCCCTGCTTGGGGTCCCAGCGGCCTGGCGGGTGCGGCAACTTCCTGACTCTCCCGAGTGTCCTCTTCCTGCCCGGGGCCCCAGGCCTCCGCGTGCCCACCCATTGCAGACCACCTGGGGAGGAAACGCCACTAACGCCCACCCACCCCAAAGGGCTGCGGTGGGATTGCCTGTGGAGCTACTGGGTGCCACAGACTCTGGTTTTAAAAAATATTTTCCCTTTAATTACAAAAGTAATACATCTCCACTATATAAAACTTGGAAAATTTCAGAAAAAGGCAAAAGACAAATACTAGCAGACCAGTGAAAGACTGCGAGACAAGTCCTTCTGAGTCTTCTCGCGCTTTCCCATGTCTGGTCCAGGAGTCCCGACCAGCAGAGAAGCTGACAGGGGGGGACCGTGGGTGGGTATGGGGCAGTGACTGGAAGGGAGCGGCAGCACTCCCCTGGGGAATGGGACCCCTCCCCCCAACCCGGGAGCCGCCACCGTGGTGCTGAGCCCTGGGGACCAGGCCCTGTGCTGCCTGGTCAACCGCACTTTCCATGGCGAGCCCTTCTTGCAGGGGAGTAGGCAGGCGTTCTGAATGGAAGAATGAGGCCTGGGCGTCTCGGTGGTCCCAGGGCCCCAGCCAACCTGTGTGTGCTTCTCTCCCCAGGGGCCCCCAGCGAGGACCCCCAGTTCCCCAAGGTGCAGTGGCCGCCCCGTGAACTCTGTTCTCCCTGCCACAACGAAATCCGGGGGACTCCTGTGTGGGACCTGGGCAGCACCCTCAGCTTCCTGAAGACCCACTTCTCCCGGAGGAACATCGTCACGGACTTCCGTCCCCCGGGGCCAGACCCCCAGAGCGCTGCGCAGTGGATGGCAGCCATCCCAAAGCCAGAGCTGCCGGCCCGGAATTCCACTGTGGGCCCTGAGGAGGCGGAGATCATGGTAGGCCCAGGGACAGAGCTCCCCGGGACTGTCGCCCTGGATGTTTTAGCGGAGAGACTTGGGGCCAGTCGCCCCCCAGAGGTGCCAGCAGGCCTCGGCGTGACCGGAGCTGAGCTAGACCAGGGCCTGCCTGAGCACATAGAGCTTCAGAGGGAGGAGGTGGAGCCGCCAGAAGGGCGGCGACCCTTGACCAAGCGAGACACGGGAGCCGCATTGCTGGCCGAGGTTCTGGCCGAGAAGAACCTCCCCAGGGGCTTCTCAGAGCTGAGACGAGTGGGCCGCAGCTCCAAGCAGCTGGCCAGTGTCCCCGAGGGGGAGCCAGAGGCTGGGGCCATGCGGGGCCAGGGCCCGTGGCTGCAGATGCTGGGAGGGGGCTTCTCCCACCTGGACATCAGCCTCTGTGTGGTGCTCTACTCCCTGTCCTTCATGGGCCTGCTGGCCGTGTACACCTACTTCCGGGCCAGGATGAGGGCCCTGAAGGCCCACGCGAGCCATCCCGCTGCCTGAGCCGCCCACCTTGTTGCGGGGGGTCGGGCGGGGCGGCAGCGAGAAAGGGAGCTGCAGCCCCTGGGGCTCTTCCGGCGCCCTGCCCTCGTCTCCCCCTTGCTCCTTGGCCAGGGAAGTCCAGGAAAACCAGATGCTCCAGTGAACCCTCCTTGGTCCTTGTGGGAAGGGGTGTTCAGAGACACGAAGACACGCACAGGGTCCAGCTTCATCTGGCAGCACAGGGATCGGGGGCCGGGGGTGGGGAGGGGGGAACGGGGGGGCAGCCTTGGGCAGTGAGGCCCTGTCCCTGGCCTTTCAGCACCAAATTCCTCTTTTGCAGCTCATTTGAAGTCCTGCCTCATTCTTGCTGAAGCTTCAATGTCTCCTGCTTGTTCTTGGCCCTCAGTTTCCAAGGCTTCCCATCAGAGGCGGGTCCCCGGGCTGAGCGGGCTGGAGCAGAACCCCTCACTCCCTTCCGGGGCCCCGTCCGTCCCGCTCCCATCCCACCGGAGAAGGAGCGGCTGCCCGGGCCCCGCGGCCTGCCCATCCTCCAGCCCCTGAGACCTCCTGGGTGGGCTTTAGGGGGTGGCTTTAGGGTGGGGACTGGAAGCTTGTGGAAGTCCTGCTGGCCTCCTAGGTGACATTTGTGGCAGGAGCACCTCAGGCTGGTCCTTCCCAAACCTCTGCTGCAGGAAGCGCACGGGCTGGGCTTGGCGTGGGCCGGCCCAGCTGCGGGGCTGATGGTCACTGGGGAGGGAAGGGTGAGCGGCTGGCTTAGCGGACCCGGTAAAGGGCAGTGTGGGGTTTCGCTTAGGGATGCTGGGACCTCTAGTGCCTTACCCAGGGCTCTGCCACGGGAGGCAGAGTGAAGCGCAGGAAAAAGATGGTTGCTCCCAATGTGCTTTGGCTCCCCCCAGCCTGGGCCCATCCCTCTGGGAGCTGGGTCTGCGTTGCTTTCGCCAAAATAGATGCTCCTCCTCGAATCTGGAGGGCCCTGGAGCGAGCGGGGCATTGTCTCTCTCGAGGGCCCACCTCCCGTCACGTAGAGGTGAAGGCGTCAGGGACAGGGGTGCAGTACACATGCTTGGTTTTCACTCTGCCCACTGCTTAGGAGGGCTGTGGAATAAATTATTTTTGTTAAGGCAAGCACCCATGTGTCCCTCAACTTGCTGCGTGGAGACCTAGTGCCCGGGGTCTGGGCAGAATGTGCGGAATCCGGCCGTGAGGCATCCGGCCAGACGTGCTTTCCCCTGGCTCACAGAGCCCCCGGCTTGGGTTGGGGACACGGTACCCCAGCCGGTCGCAGCCCCCTTCTCCAGGGCCGGGCCCTCCCGACTGCCCCCGAGCTCTCTGTGCCCCAGCCCCCATCGGTCTCCTGCGCCCAGGCAGGCGCCCTCGTCTGCACTGGCTGGGCTCTCCTCAGCCGCGGGCTCCCTGGGAAGGAGGGGGCTCATCTGTGGGGCACCTAGGCTGCTGCCCAGCAGGGAGGAGCCACTAGATCAGAGGGCCTGCCCTAGCCTGGCCTCTGGGTTTTACAGGGATCAGAGCAGCTGATAATGAACCTCATTAAGAGAGAGCAGGAGCCTCAATCCGATTTGGGGTTTTCTCTTTGACATCACCCTGCTCAGACCGTCTGGCCCTGGGTGGAGGGGGCAGGGTGCCAAGCATGCCCCCTCTGCTAGGGCAGCTGGGGTGGGGGACAGCAGGGTCAGCCCCTCCCCTGCTGGTGTTGGCCCCGTGTTCCCTCGGTGGATCCCCGCCTGGGGCTGCTCTGCAGGCCTCTCATCTACCGGGGGTCCCTGTCTGTGTCCCCGTTCGAGTCGTCCGCCTGCCCCCTCTGTCGTCCTGGGCCAGCTCTGCTCCCCTCCCCCGGCCCCAGTAGCCCTGACTGGCCGTGCGAGAGACAGGCCGCGACCCTGGCCTGCAGGGGTGAAAGAGGCTCCCAGGGGGCAAGACCATTTGAGTGCACCTGTTCCCCCTCCACCTGGTGCTTGACGCAATGCCAAGTGCAGAGGATTTTCATCTGCCAGCCCTTAGCGCTCCAGTGACCATGTTTTCTAAAACCGAGCCCAGGTATTCAGAATTAGCGCCCAGCCATCGGGGTGGGTCTCCCGCCCCCTGCATCTTTTTGCCCTGTCCCAGCCCCTCTGATTGATAAGCAAGGGGTGGGCTTCTCCTCAGCAAGACCGCTGCCTTTCACCTTGATTTCCCCAGGGCTCTCGGCAGCATCGATAAATCGGCTTCGCCCACCAGCTGGTCCCTTCCCCCACCCGCTCTGCCAGGCCCGGAGCTGGGGCTTCTGGGGCTTGAACACCACCTGCCACCTTTGTTCTAGGTGGTTCTCTGCTCCTTGGGAGAGCACCCACACAGGAGGGGGTCCTCAGGGAAGCCCCGCACAGCAGGTCTGGAGCTGGGGATTTGACCTACTGGGCTCTCAGGGCCGGTTTCCCCGGGGGAGGAGGCAGCTGAGCTGGGCTGCGCAAGGCGCGTTGGTGAGGAGAATGGGGGAAGGGGCGTGCCATGGAGTCCAGCCAGGGAAAACGGTGATACAAGGAATTCTAAGCAAAAAACTAAAAAATACTTAAAGGAGTTTTTCAAAGTTGTACTGGCCTGGAGGTTCTGGATGAACAGAGAAGTGAGACATGGCCCCTCCCTGCTGTCGCGGAGCTGACACTGTGGAGGGAAAAGGGGGGGGGGTGATGAGAGGCTGTGCTAAGTGCTCTGAGGGATGGAGCCCAGCAGGGGGAGCGGGGCGGGGGGTGCCTCTCCAAGACCGGGAGGGCGAGGAGCTGTGAATGGGAGGATGTAGGGGTGTCATGCAGGGGTGGAGGCTGAGGTGGGCCCAGAGGGGTGGCCCACGTTTGGCCTGGACTTCCCCAATGACCTTGGCCTGGGGTGGGGGTGGGGAGGCCAGGTGCAGCCCGTGCAGCCCCGGGTGTGGGTGGGGTGAGGAGCGGGCTCCCGGGGACCCACACAGCCTTGGCGCTGGCCGAAAGGCCCTAGCAGTTGAGGGAAGACAAGGGCACTGGTTCATGTACCTGGTTGCGCACTGACCAGCTTGGTTCCAACTCTTGGGTGAATCATTCATGTCTGGAGCCTCAGTTTCCTCATCGGTGAGACAAAGTAAGGGGCCTTTACCTCCCTTACTGTGACACCAACTGCTTCCCTGTCAGCTCAGCGAGGAGTTGAGCCTTCAGGGCCTTCCAGAAAAGACTGCCATTGGAAGGAAATCACAGCCTGTACGACCTGTGTCCCCACGGGCCAGCTGTGGCAGGGCAGGCTCGCTCAGGCTGCGGTCCGAGGGAGAGGAGCGCCCCAGAGGCCGCCTGCGCCCCAGCGCAACCTCCCTCTCCCTGAGACCCCCTCCCCAGCCTCCCCCAGTCCCAGGGAAGCCCAGGGCGGCCCATCCCTTCCCCGGCATCTCCTCCTTTGCCCCGCCCCTCCCACCTCAGGGCCCCCCTCCTCTGAGGACAAAGGCTGATCCCCACCAACACTCGCACACCCTGCTGGAAGAACTAACCCTAGTGCCAAGAGGAACAAGTTAATTTTTATCCTTTCCCCTAGTGCCTGGCTTGCCACCTCCTCCGTCTCGTGTCTGGGCCCCCCCCCCGCCCCCCCGCCACAGTGCGGGCCCTGGCTTCTCCCAGTGTCTGCTTTCTCTCCTCTGCTGCCCTGGGTAGGGGTGGCGTCATTCACATCCCAGGGGGAAAACAACCTTGTCACGCTACCCCCACCCCCACCCTGGGCCTTTGCTCTGACTGGGTGCCTGCAGGGCGGTCTCCAACGGAGGGAGGCCCCACACACTTGGGGTCCCAGGCCCTGGAGCCTCCATGACTGGATCACAGAGCCTTGGTCTCTGCCCTGGAAGAGAGCAGCCCCATGCATGCAGCGTGGCGGCCTCCGCGAGGGTCACTGGGGGGCGCAGGGCTGATGACCCAGGCTCTGCTCACCTCCCTGGCCCCTTCCCTCCCGGCTTCCCCTCTGCCGGAGCAGACGTGGTCGCAGACAGGCGGGAGAGTCTAGAAGACATAAGGCAAAGGTGGGGGCCTCTGCCAACCTGAGGAGATGGCACGAAAGGGGACAGTCACTGAGGACGACCCGAGGGGCATCTGTTCGGATTCTGGGGCGAGGCCTACCTGGCAGGGCTGGCAGGTGTCCGCGTGCTCCCTTGGCACGACCCAGCCATTTCTGAGGCGAGAGCAGAGGCCTTGCAGTGAGCTGCGGGCCCCTCCAGAAGCAGGCAGCCCTGGGCGCTGCCTGGCGATCAGACCTTCCTCGTCCCCTGGAGGTGTGACTGACCCCTCCTCAGTGTCTGCTCGGGGGTGGGGCGGAGTGGGGGGGCGCCTGGCACCCCGGGGCTGCCACCCGCGGAGCTTGAATTGGCCTGGAGAGTCCCCATACAGTTCTCAAGCCGGAGTTCTGCTTTGGAGAGGGAGGAATTAATGTTTAGCAAGCGGTGTTGAGAATATTGATTATTTAGGGAGAATTCTGCTAGGATCCGGTCTTCACACCGTACGCCCAAGTAAATCTCAGTAAAGAAGAAGGCATAGGAAGACATAATGGAATATTTTACTATTTCTGTAGGCATAAAAACAATGAAAAATATAGCTAAAGTGAGAATTTGATCTACTTATCACCAATTAAAAAAATAAATAAAACCAAGTTACATATTAAAAACCTGGAAAAATATGTGCCAAAAATATAACAAAGAGATAAGACTATTACAAAAGATGCAATCTTAAAATGAGATTAGTTTACAAGTATTGATATAAGATGTCCAAGGATACATTTCTGTAAACACAAATATTACTATTTATTAAAATATGTATTAGTAAATATATAATGTAATTATGAAATGTAATTTAATATAAATGTTTTAAGTGCACATTATTAAATGAAATTTAATATAAGTGTTTTAAGTGCACATTAAATGTATTAATATATGTAAGTAATGTAATTTATAACATTGTTATACGGTTGACCCTTAAACAACGCAGGGGTGGAGGCGGCCAACCCCCCACCAGCTGAAAGTCCACGTGTAACACTTGATTCCCCCAAAGCGTAACTACTCATCGCCTGCTGTTGACTGGAAACCTTGCTGATGGCATAAACAGCCCGTTACCACTTATTTTGTATCCTATGTGTATTATATGCTGTATTCTTACCATAAAGTAATCTAGAAAAAAGAAAATTTTGAGAGAATCATGATTAAGAGAAAATACACTTACAATATTTATTGAAAAAA